GTAAGGTGACGGTAGGGAGGCCATGGTGGAGGTAGTTGTGGTGATATATCAACTAGTTTTATATAAATGTTATAATATAGCTTTTTTTTTTATTTGATAATCAAATCAAAATTACTCGGTAAAAAATTTCGTGTCAGCAAATGCCTTATTATATTATTATTTAATATAATGTACAACGTATTGTAGCGCTGAAGAGGGTGTATAAATTTAAATATTTAGGACATCAATTGGCCTCGGATCTCAAAGATGATGATGACATTGAACGGGAGCGGAGGGCGCTGGCGGTGAGGGCGAATATGATAGCACGCAGGTTTGCGCGGTGCTCTGGACAAGTTAAAATTACGTTATTTAGATCACATTGCACATCTTTCTATGCATGCAACCTGTGGGCTGTATATACTCAAAAATCCTACAGCGACCTCCGTATCCAATATAATAACGCGTTCAGGGTGTTGATGGGGCTGCCACGATTCTGCAGCGCGTCAGGGATGTTCGCTGAGCATCGTGTAGATTGTTTTTATGCCACGATGCGAAAAAGGTGTGCATCCCTGGTGCGCAGAGTACGTGCCAGCACCAACAGCATCCTGAGTATGATAGCAAGCAGGCTGGACTGTGTGTACGTTAATCACTGCTGCGCAATTTCCAATGGAATTGTGCAGCGGTGATTATCTGTATACTGCTTAATATATTGTATGTGTGTATGTGTGTGTATGTGTATTGTGTATGTAAATTTACTAACATTAGTTTTTAAGAATATTGTTACTAATAAATATTTAATGGACCAAAAAGTCTGAAATAAAAATTATTATTATTATTATTATTATTATTATAAAATAATAGAATGATTATAGATAAAAAAAAACTAATTTCAGAGTCAGATGTTTTTTTTTTATGGGTGAAAATGGTATGGTAACCCCGCCTGCGCTAACGGGATACGTTGGCGGGGCACCAGTGAAGGGTGATAGATGAGAATGAAAACAGACCAGTTAGCCCATCATGATGAATTCATCAGGAATTAACCATGATAGATACTCTTAGAGTCAGATGTTTAATGCCGTCATCGTGTTCACTTACTACAATTATGTTTTTTTATAATTGATTAATATTTGTTTTCATTACGTCATCATAAGAAAATGACTGAATGAAATTAAAAGAAATTTTATAATCAATTTATAGACTCAGCGGTTTCGATTTTAGTATTAAACAGTTAGTCACATTCATTTGCATTAGCTCTACACAAAAATTGGTACGTATTTTAGGAAAGTTCTTTAAATGAATCAAGAGACATAATTTGACTCTTCTATTGTATGAAATCGTACAGAAAATAATGGCCTTTACATTATAATGTGTCTCTGTGAAAAAAGAAACTGTGTTATATTAATCGTATAATCTCATTATTATTTTAAAATGCGATCAGATAATTTTGACAATAAGAACGAACCTCAAAGGCACAGCTCGTTGACAATTAAATTGTACTGCAAATAAAAAAATAATTAATTAAGTAATTTAATACTTAATCAATTTATTATTAAAGTCAATATTTTTCTTATTTTATTAATAAATACTTTTAATTCAGTAATTAAACTTTGCCAGCATAGCGTTTTTAATTCGCTATTCGCAATTAAATTTATATTGTTTTTACATTTTTTTTTCATATATTTTCCAAGGAGATAATCAAAATTTTATGATTGCCTTTTTATCTTTTATTTCTCAATCGCATTATTATTAAGCGTATTCTTAAGTAATAAGAATTGTTGTGTTAACTAAATTTATATATTTAGTTATTTATATATGTTATATGATATATACATATATAATATATTATATATATAATGTATAATTAATGTTTTTATAAAGATAATAAAAAATAAAACAATCAAATTAACTTTTCTCAATTGATATGCTTAAGAACAAATAGTATTTATAAAATAAATAAAAAATCATTATCCTGTATTGTCAAATCAATATTGTACTAGAATACATAAAAAAACATTTAGATACCAATAATACTGTACCAACAACTTGATAAATATATGTACCTTGGTATTAACAAAAAGTTATTATGTTGCTATGCATAGTACCTACATTGTATACTCAGGTAATTACAAACCATTTCCCATGAGTACTCGCAATATTTAAACGAATGAAAATATTAATGTGAAATACATATTGTGTTCTGTAACATCGCTTGTATAAATAGTTTCAGCGCATAACAAACATCAGACCCATAAGTGCAATGTAGAAATATTTTTACAAATTAGCCGTGATGCTTAGATATTAAGAAATTATTATATTCTAGCCGAAAAACGAGATCTTAAAAAGTAAAAATGCTTTTGCAAAGTCATTTCCTTACCCGGAAAACAAGGGAAAACAGCCATATTTATGAGTTTACCATATCTAATTATAAGTTCAATGCTAGCGACCGATAGACCGCGGAGGTCGCCATTTCGAAGGCCGACTATTTACTCATTTGTTGCAGCCTCCGGGCATCCACTTACTTTCCTCATGCTCCTTAGATACCATGCTCAAACTAGTTACTAATTAATACGTATCTGGTAACAAGGACAGGATGCCTTAAATCATCATCATTATATCAACCATTATCTGTCCACTGGGGAACATAGGCCACCTCCATGAACTGTCATAAGAAACATGGCCGTTCCTTATAGCCAACCATTGCAGAGAGGGGGGAAAGGGATTGTTAGTAATGAAGACTGAGAATCCCATTACTAGCAATATACCCAACCAGGTCGACCTCCTCGCGGTTCCCCCTGGACACAATCATGGTTAATTCCTGATGAATTCATCATGATGGGCTAATCACATCGATCACCCTTCACTGGTGCTCCGCCAATGTATCCCGTTAGCGCAGGCGGGGTTCCCATACCATTTTCACTCATAAAAAAAAACCATTGTAGAGATTTTGCTAGTAATTGCCACGCTTGAAAATCGAAGTTTGACTTTTGGTAATCTTTTAAGAGGGACGCTGCTGCCCAAATCTCAACCATTAAGTTCCCTTAATCGCCTCTTTCAACATTCACGGGAAAGGAAGGAGCGCATTCTATGTCGGAACCACACGATATGCCTTAAATACTGTACTGCAAATCACAAAAAACGACCGAGCGTAAACAATTAATCTAGATTTAAATAAGATTTAACTCTTGAACCCAAACACAAACATTACAACATGTTACTACTATATCAGTTGCAAACTTCATGTTAATTAATCTAATGCACTTGTTTGTAGCTTCCCCCTTTTGCTTCGTTTGCTACATCGCATCGCCATTGAAAAAAAAAAAGTGTTGTTGTTTTATCTATGACATCGCACAGACCGGGTACTACTATCTTTAATCTATGAATAAAACGACTCACTGACGTACATATTGCATGTTTATTCAATTTGCTTAAAAACTTTCAGTATTATTAACACTATAATTGTATAATGTATTCATGTATTTTATAATCTAAGATTTATACGATAAAAAGAAATTAAAATTGTGTTGCACAAAAAATACCAACATCGATTACAGCAAAATCAGTTATTTTAATTTAAAAACAAGTAGTAAAACGATATTGATAAAATTTCTATCGAACTAATCTGTAAATATATCCTTTCAGATAAAAAAGATTTTTCCAAATCGATTTATAAATACCTAAATTATGAAGTAACAAACAAAAAAATACAACTAAATAGGCTAACCTCCTTCTTTTTGAAGTCGGTTAAAACAATTTTTTTCAACTATAATCTCTGCTCCAAAATATTTATCAGGTTACCGTTAGATAAACACTAGACATACTCATATTTAGACAAAAAAATGTTAATCCAACTTTGTATAGAGCGACTATTTTATTTCCTATGCATATTGGTCCCTTATTAATTTTGACTCGATTGAAGTTGGTTACTTTTTTGTGGCACAAAATCAAAGTGCAGCAAATTTTCTTTCTTTTGTATCAAAAGTTTTTGCTGAATGGAGGGACTACATTGGTATTATGTAACATAAATGTGTTTTTTTTTTATTTTGAACCTTTTTAGTTTACATGCATAGTATAAAATAAACCCATGATGTACATGTCATTCTGTAGTCCATGCTGCCAATGACTTGTTTATTCATCAAGACCTATACAAACTTAATTAAATAAACAGCTGCATTATATATAGAACAAGTTCCAACTGATACATATATATATATACTTTTATGGTACTAATTTCGGCCATTTAACAGGAAAATTAAATGTTAATTGATGATGATATTATTATTAAGCGTTCGAGCTTACCAAGGAACATGCACAAAACTCATTTATGTTCATATGACACGCTAGAAACGGGTACAGGTTATATAAACTAAATTGCAATGTTTGAAAAGTAACAATTATTAATTCCTTCCTTCTCTCCTTATATTTTGGTAATATTTTCATATCATAATGAATGTTTGATAACGTTTTTTTATGACAATTTGAAATTAAATTTAATACAAAGAAATTCAAACCTAGATTAGGGTAATTTATACGAGTATACTAATTCAGACAGAAAAAGATAGAAAGATACATTCCGATAAATACATATCGAGATATATTCCGCATCTATATGTACTATCTACATTATTACTCAAATAAGCTGAAACAGCTAAATGGATTGGAATAAAATTTGATGAGTACACAGTTAGCTATTCATAAAATTAATGTATAGATTACGTAAATTTCATAAGTTAGATAATAAAAGTAAAACATTTATTTATTTCTATACCTAACTATTAAATAGTAACATATACATATGTTACTGTTTACTTAGAAATTTACTTTTGAATGAATTTAATGAATTTTAAACTATTATTTGTACATAAATCATTCGTTGTTAATGATCTATGTTCAGCAATGAACAGTTAAAGACTGATATAATAATAAAATATTAAATTATTATAGAACAACAGCTTAAATTGTTGTAAAACTAATTTTAAATGATGGTGGAACTGTATTAAGTTTGTTCTCATCACATATTCCAGGTTGGCGGCAGCGCAGGAGGCGGCGGGCGCGCAGGCTCGCGCGGCGCCAGCTGATACCATGGGCGGCGCGCACCAGCCCGCTACTCCGGGGCCCAGCTCGCTCTTTATATTTGCCGACGAAAATCCTATTCGGAGGTTGGTATAGTTTATTTTTAGTCTATCCTTACCTTGTTCAAACTAAGTTATAGTGTATTTTGTATAAAAGAGACTTTTTTAATTCATAACATTGTCTTTGGCGACATACTTTGCCATGTAGTCCCGCAATAAAATGGACCACCCTTTCCTTTCACGTTAGTGTCATCAAAGGCGACTAAAACAACTTAACGATCGAAGGACAGCGAGGCAGCGTCCTTCTTAAAATATTACCACAGATAATATAATACTAGTACATTACCAAAGCTTACTTACTGCGGCTGCCAACCCGCTTGTAAAGCGTGGCAATTATTGGCATAACCCCCCATAAGCAAAATGCCTATGGTAATGATTCTCATTCATGATTTCAACGACCGAGTCACTGTAGTACCGTTGTGGTTTTCATTATAAAAATTATAGTATAGATGCAAATATTCATAGACGTAGGTTAGGCAGGGGAGAGAGTATACAGTACATACCCCAGAATTGTCCGGTGCTCATCCCGGTTTAAATAGCAAATAAACGAAATAGTAAAAACCTTGGATAATATCTATATATATAAAAGAGGATGCTGGGTGACTGATTGACCCATATATCAACACAACAAAAACTGTTGAATCTAGAATCTTAAAATTTTTCAGATCGATTCTTCACATAGCGTAGGTGAACAATAAAAAAGACATTTTGAAAATTCAACCCTTAAATGGCCAAACTTCCAAAATCCACACGAACGAAGTTGTTTTTTCGACGTCCCCTTATCACACAACCCTTTGTGTGTTTCCCCTTTATCTACGACTTGGCAAGCCATAATATTTTTTCAAAATAATAGTGGCGCTAATCTAATCTTTTCATCGAAAGTAAAGCGGTACAAGTTGAGTGCATTGAAACATGAATCAAAGTTGACCCAAATTATGGGTTAGATTAATTTGTTCGATGAACACTTGCACACTTGTCTACGGTACCTAACCATAGACGAAATATTTTCATGTTGTCACGGAACAAAGTCGTAATGGATGCTTTAAATTATGTATGTAGGACGGGTCAGGAGAACATTATTAAACTAGGAACTGCAGTATCGTGACTGAGTACATATTCATCTCATTACATCATTCGAACTCGAAATGAATTCTTATACTTTATAAAATATTTCAAGTATTTCTGAACTGTGCTAAGAATAGATTTTTTTCTGTAAAGGCTTTTCTTTTAAAATTGTAATCATACAAATTTATACTACCTAATTCTAGCATTACAAAAAATATAAATTGTAAAAATATTTTTGGATAAATATTTATTCATAGCTTTCAATGTTAAAGTAAGTTACTACTCTTCTTATCAAACAATAGTCTAAATATAAGTGTCAAAAATAAACCAAATCTAAAAGTGGAATTATGAAAACAATTACCAGATTAATGATTAAGCAAAAGAGAGAGACTTTATACAAAAGTCATCTGGTTGGGTACCTATACCCACTTGCATACAGCTGCTTTCTCTTAATGGCTTGTACCTTCTTCAGCCCTATCGTACCCTGAACTGATTTCTCGGATAAAGTTTTATCTACTTTCGCTACTCACGGAAAGAAGATGGGTATCAATAATTCATAGTGATGTTCAAAAATTTCTGATTTGAGTTCAGCTAATATAGGTTAAATAAGAACAAAATTTTATTTATTTAGGTTAAACTGACACAATTATTTTTCTCTTTGCTTGTAAAAATTTAAATAGCTCTGTTTTGATTGAAAGAGTAGAATATTGTAATAAAAAACAGGGTATATCACGCCTTTCATTATAAGTCCTCAGGAATAACAACACATATATGGTGCCTTTACTGTCGTCACAGAATATTTTGTACTTCCATTATACTGCTTATAATTTTAGGCGTTGTTTATATCTATTGCCAATGGTTATTACTTTTCATCAGAATGTCTAATATGAATTATATTAAAATTATACATAGAAGTCTGAGTTTTCGAAAGTATCCGCTAATTTTCAATACAATCTTATCAAGTAGACGTGATACTGAAATAGACTATATTTTCCAACCAAAGTTATATACGAGTTATATACAAAACTATATTAAAATAGGACATATTATCTCTATTTCCAGGTATACAAAATTCATCATCGAGTGGCCACCCTTCGAGTACGCGGTGCTGCTTACCATCATCGCCAACTGCGTGGTGCTGGCGCTGGAGGAGCATTTGCCCAACGGCGATAAGACCATCTTAGCACAGAATCTGGTAAATATTAGCTCATTATTCATTCCTTATTTAAAAATAAATCTAGTAAATATTTCCTAAGTAGAAACTTTAAACTTTTTATGAACGAGATATTAACAAAATTTTGAGGTAACTACCGAGTAAGTTTTGATTTGTGTGCTTGTAAATGTTTACAACCACCGCCGTCACAAATCAACCCGTAGCGACAAATACTAACATCGTTGAAATATAGAGAGATCATAAATTTATTTATTTCTTTATTTTATTTGGAAAACACAATAGATAACAATAAAAAGTAGAAGTTCCTATACCAATATAATAACTACGTATATACGGAGTGTTAGTACAAAAGACTCAAAATTTATTGACTTTTTCGAATCGTATGTATTTAAAAAAAACCGTTTAGCTGTTAAAAGGATACTAATAATTTCGATTTATATATATACTTACATATTTTACAAAAGAAATAAAAAAAAAAAACAAATCAATTATTTGTTTGTTTCAGGAAAAAACCGAGGCGTACTTTTTAGGAATATTTTGTGTAGAAGCCTCGTTAAAAATATTAGCATTAGGTTTTGTTTTACACAGAGGATCGTATCTTAGGAACGTTTGGAACATCATGGATTTTTTCGTTGTAATCACTGGGTAAGTTAGATTTTTTTATTAGATAGACAAATCATATTAGTTGGCTCTTGCTAATACACTATGTAAACTAACAATAAATGTACTACTGTTTTGAAAAATAATCCTGGATTACTTTATTTATTACGAGAATATCAGCAGGTAATTCAAGTTTAATTTCTTAAATTCTTTTAGGGAAACAAAAAATAAAACTGTAGTTTTAACAAGATTATTGAGAATAATATATTAAAGAAAAAATATGTTTGTACACTATATTGTTGGTTACATAGTCCAGTAGTTAGGAATACTATCTATACTGACAAGTTAACATACCTACAAGTTCTTACATATTACGTTTATTTGAAATCGTTGCATACTTTCGTGATAAAAGTAAAGAATTAGACATGCTTAGAAAAAGATATAATTTCTATATGGACGTTTTGTAAATTAAAAAATAAACTTTAATTCATATTGTATTGATTGATTGATTTTCCGTATGTTGATAAAAATAAGAATAGAATTTCATTCTAAGTATTGTCGTAAGAAAATATTAAGGAAAAAGGTTCATTTACTATACACCAGTAAGAGAAAGAAAAGTAAGAAATGTATATCAAAACCTTTGGACACTTGATTGTTTCTGCCTACCCTAAGAGATTTATAGATAACATATCTAATTAATAACCGTAGCGTATAGCTACGTTATTTTACGTATTTGGTATTGGCATATGGCAATGACTAAATATCATGTACTTAGATATTACTTCTAAAATGAAACACTATTTTCCTTTTATTCTTGTATAATTATAACACATTTTTTTTTCGATCTAAACTGGCATAGATAAGTAGCACAGTTAACAGCAAATAACTTGAACAGAGTCATAGATAATGGGTTGTAGTTGTTGTGTAAATGTTTTAAACTATGCTAGTCTATTATTAATCAACTTACCTAAGCACTTAACAAAAACATTTAACTTTAAATGGTATGCAGCGATTTCTCTTTGAAATCATAATAAAAAATACATCACAATCAACAATGTTGATGTATTAACAGGCCCTACTGATTGGTTATTCACCTCATGTTTACTAACAAAATTCAGAATTGTATAGGCTTTAAATTTAGGTTATGATAGGGCTGAAAGGATTAAAGCTGATTATTTTATTGAATATTCGATAACGAAAACTAGGTCGATGACGATTTTCGCCGAATACAACGTGGACGTTGACCTGCGGATGCTGCGCTCATTCAGAGTGCTCCGACCGCTGAAGCTCGTCTCGCGGATACCAAGTAATTCACAGTAATTGGCGAAAAGTTCACATAATAACCTACATTATTTGTATAGAACGTTCTCGCTAGATGTTTTCGAATTTCGAACTTTTTGGAACGTAGTAAAAATATCGCTAGTGGATTTTTTTGAAAATAGAATTTTTCGATTTTAGTAAAGAAACGTAGCGTCGAACTCTCGACATGATTACTTTATGAGACGTTTCTGTATTCAGCTTAGAAAATGTGTGATTTTATATTATGGAAAATGTTTAAATGTTATTTGAATTTCGGCTACGTGTTGCATAATAGTAACAATTTGCTAATAATTGTGTATTGCGTAGGTATTTCAAATATATATAAAAAATTATAACGTAAGAATACTTAGATAAAAATAATTTAGGTGTGAATAAATATGGTGTATTTAGAAATAAAGTCGTAACAATTAACGTGTGATTAGAATAAAATAACCAAACTAATTAGATACACGATATTTAGACAGTAGAAGTTAAGCTAGAAAATTCATTTTATATTTTTTTAATAAAAATAATAGGACTGTGCTGTTTAAAATCATCTAGAAATACATAGACGATTTGCAATTAGATTACATTAATAGAGAAAATAATATCATGCAGTCGGTTACACAATACACACAGGAAACCAAACATGTACATGCACAGTCCTAAGTAGACATTTTATTACTAAGCTAGTTGCTAGTTCAGGCTATAGTATCGAGTGATATGTGTTTGGCAGTATCATCACGCAGCTGCCGATCGTGCCCGAAGTCGACTTCAGGACCTTGCGTGCCATTAGGGTGCTGAGGCCCCTTAAATTAGTATCGGGCGTTCCTAGTGAGTTTTAGAACATTATTAGTTATCTGTAGCACTTTCGATACTGGCTGTTGCACAATTTAAGTTTTATATTCTTTAATTTATAAATAAAAAAGAAACTATAAGCAAATATATGCAACTGCATTACTATAAAAATAAATCTGATGCCATAGTTTTAAATATCCAGATCCAGATCTGCCTCACTTCGAAATATTTGAGTGAAATCTATGCAACTAATTATTAAATAATTCATTGAATTTTCAATTTTACTCTCACTTATTTTATTCTGATACTCCTAGATGGTTGTATAGATTTATTTACCAGCTTCATCAATATACATAATGCATTGCTGACTCTTAACTTACATAGTTATTAATTGCTCTGTGGTTTAATTAATAAAATCTATTAACTATATAGCAATAAATTAAATTAAATTCACCCGAAAACAAGAAATTGTGGTAACTTTCATTCCGTTTCTATTTGTGAAATAACTCAAATCGTGTATTTAATTACATTGAAATTGTGCGACAGCTAATTATCTTTTGCACGATATCTTTTCTGTATTCCGTTTTCATTGTATCATATTAATCATAGTATTTACTGTTTCATTTACTCTATCTAGTTATTAGACTAAATTTAATATTAGTATAAAAAAAATATTAGCAATATAAATTTTCATTTGTAAATGTATTAAATTTTAAATTACAGATTAAACATTTTATTACGTCATTATATTCGTATAGATCTTTTAAAGTATTTGGTAGTGATGAATCCAATTAATATTTGTGCATTGATCATAAATATCATGAAAATGTTTGATATAATTACTTAAGATATTACTTATTTAAGTCAGTAATTAAAAAGATCAATATATCATCTCATAAAACAACTTGAAAGACCTTATAGTTTATCTATTTTATTATAATATTACAATATTTAAATATTACAGAAACCCTCGATTTGATATTCGGTATAAGTTGTTTGTACATTTTATAAGGTTATTCTTCAAATTACTGCAGTATCTACTGGTTTAATATCAGAAGAAAATTTCTATTCCAGCTAGTATGCCATAAATAAGTCATAAAAAAAAACGTACAAAAGCATATCTTAAAATATAATTCTTCGTATAGGTCTGCAAGTGGTATTGAAGTCCATCATCAAAGCGATGGCCCCGCTGCTTCAGATTGGCCTTTTGGTGCTTTTCGCGATCGTCATTTTCGCCATTATTGGCCTCGAGTTCTACTCAGGGGCGCTGCATAAGACTTGTTATACTTTAGAAGATATTAGTGAGTATTTAATGTTTAAGTATTATATTGTAATTATCAATTAATTTGGACTTTTAAGTAGTACCTATATCGAGTAACGTATAATTATTATAATTACTAAATAGATATTGGGTACGTTGTGTTAAACATCGTATATTACGTGACTGAAACATTTAACAGGGAATATGGAAAAAAAACCTTCATTTCATAAATTCATCTACAGATCTAAACAAACATTACGTCAAATTTAGTCAAATCCTGCGAAAATACAAAATTATTACTTTTCGTACTTACTACTTATTGTATTCTCAATTATAAACAAGAAATATGACAACACAAAGTAACATTTTTTTTATACAACTTAGAATGGCAAACAAGCTGACGGCCCACCTGATGGAAAGTGGTAACCGTCGCCTATAGACATGAGCAGTACCATGGACATAACAGTACACACACATACTGTTTCGCCCATGATACCCCCCATGCGTTGCCATTCCTGAGGACTCAGGTGTTATTCCTCTGTACTCAGTAAATTCACGCCATATCCCACCCTTCAAACCGAAACACAGCCATGCAAACACAACTGCTTCACGGTTGAAACACAAATGGGACAGAGGTACCCAAGCAATCGACTTTTGTACATCCTCTTTTATTTCAAATAATCTAGTAAATAAATATAAGGCTCGATAATCAATCAATATTTTATTATTCGTAGATACTATTGCTCATCGGCAGGTTGCCTTATGGTCGGTTCGATTATTAATTTGTTGATAACTTAAATACATATATAATAAAGATGAACTATTCTTTTGTGCCAGGTGAAATAATGAATGATGGTGATAATCCAACGCCATGTAACGCGGACGACGAGAATCTCGCGCCGTACGGGGCGAATGTGTGCAAATATAACAAGAGCACATGCCTCGAGAAGTGGGTAGGGCCGAATCGAGGGATCACGTCGTTCGATAACATCGGCTTCGCTATGCTCACCGTCTTCCAGTGCATCACCATGGAGGGCTGGACCGCCATCCTCTATTGGGTAAATTACTAGTCAAATATTGTTTCAATCAAAGATTTAAAAGAGAAAGAAAAGTTTAGGCCACTTCATGCTACAAGATCTTGATATAACTATCCTACGTACGTAATTATCCTGCCCCTTAGATAAGTACATTAATTATACTCTATGTATGACGGTAACTTCTGGTGTTTTATTATTCATCGTGTGTGATATAATGAAAATGTATCTACTGATACATTTATATGCTTCTTGAATAAAGTGGCTAAAATTTTCTTACTCTATTATATTTGATACTTTTTACAAAAAGAAATGTCCTTCAATAATAATAAACAATTCTTGTTTCAGACGAATGACGCGTTAGGTAGTGCGTTCAACTGGATTTACTTTGTGCCTCTCATAGTATTGGGTTCATTCTTTATGCTCAACTTAGTTCTCGGTGTCCTTAGCGGGTAAGTTGTAATATTATCCTCATCCTCTATTAAACTTATTTCACTTTATTTATGATTTATTTATTTAGTTCCATGCCCATCTATTGTGTTGAATATTTTTTTAATAACATTCAGTGAGTTTTCTAATGAGAGAGGACGGGTTGAACGACGAGCTCAATTCCAGAAAGAGAGAGCTCAGCAGATTTTCAACCAAGACTTCACGGCATACCTCAACTGGATTACAGAAGCAGGTCTACTTGTGAACCACCTGGATGTTTACTAATTGTAGAGTGCTAAATATAACATTTCCCTGACGATGATATTTATGTGTATCACTACCATTTTGTTTTCCAAATAACACTATATATAATAAATTATTGAATGAAAAAAAAAACTTTACAATTTGTAAAATTTTTAACAAATGTACTGTTTTCAAGATATCCGCTTTCATCCTTTTATTTTTTTTGCTTTTTTGTTGTTATTTTACTTTTGTACTTATTTCTCATTAATTTATAAGACCTCAAATCTCATTTTTAAATATATTACCTAATAGTCATCGCTAACAGCTAAATTGCTAGTATAATATTGTTTGTAAAATTACTTTTGAGTCCTACAAATTGTTTTAGTTCTATTTCTATAAATTGATAAATTTCAATGTAGATGTGAAAGTACAAACGATAGTTTAAGACAAATAGCAGCACATTAAAGTAATAATGCTCATTAATTACCCAAACATTATTATGTTGCTAGTGTTTTATTTTTTGGCTATATTTCACAGTGAATTCGCTAAAGAAAGAGAGAAAGTAGAAAATAGACAAGAATATCTTAAATTAAGAAGACAACAGCTACTTGAGAAGGAACTTAATGGTTATGTTGAGTGGATATGTAAAGCCGGTGAGTAAATATTATAGAAATGATCTATTTTTATCGCTTAATCTAAAATACATACTTATTCTAAATTTTTATTTCCCAGAGGAAGTAATATTAGCTGAAGAAAGGACGACAGAAGAAGAAAAGATGCACATAATAGAAGGTATGGTAATATTAAAAATAAATGAAATATTCTTAACAATGGCAATGTATGAAAGGTACCATGGGCATCATAGACTATTCTATGATGTACATCGTGCTACTCATGTTCATAGCTGACGGTTACCGCTTTCCTTTAGGTAGGGCGTCAGCTTGTTTGCCATTCAAAATTTTGTTAACAAACATATTAAATAGATGTAGTGTAGTGCGTAGAATTCAACGATTTCTGAATAATTGTAGATTCTTTATTAGCACGAAGAAGAGCAGCAGCGAAGAAAAAGTTAAAAAATCTTGGCAAGAGTAAAAGCACCGATACAGAAGAGGAGGAACAGGATGAAGACTGCGGAGATGACGGTCAGTACATTTTATTTTAAACACATCTTTAACAATTTTTGTGTCCGTAGATACGAATGTATGTGTTGTTTTGTTAATCTGTTTAACCAATATAACGTTTTGTGATTATTATTATTTATTAGGGAGATTTTTTAAAGTTTTATTTATTTTATGTATACCTATAAACTGAAATTTTATTAAACCTTAACTCTAAATAACTTTATCCAGTTTTTAATATCTTTGGAAATCTAAATAAATGTGACAATGGTTTTTAAATGTGGCAGCATGGTCTATGGCCTTAGCCTGTAACATGAGGAACGAATATAATAAAAAGAATTCGATCTCAGAATGTATCATTTAGGCACATCTAGTATGTATTTTAATCAATGAAATCACTTCACATGAATCATAAAATGTAATAACAATTATGGCACCAATCTATAAAAGCTAAAAAAAGAAATCTATAATAAAAGTGTTAAAAACTTTTATTTAATTTTTCGCATGTCCTTGTATAGTAGCATGGTGAGATTTTCATACCTTAATGTTCTTTTCATTTTATATACAATCATTCTTATATTTCTAAATTATTATTCTAAATATTCTAACAATACTTAGTACCAATATTGGGCATATGTGTTGTGTAGAAATTATATCAATTACAAGTATAGTTTTAAATCGAATTTTAATAAAGAAACACAATTTTCTTTTACCATAATTATTTTATCCAAAGATAAAATTATTTGTGGATGTTGCATGATAAGTGTTGTACTACATAATTCTTGACACTCGTTCTCATTTCCATTAAGTACCTATTCGTACTCTATTTGTGTATTGGTTGTTTACAGTTCCAAAGAAAAAGCAAGGTATGGGATCAAGCGTGATTCTGGTAGAATATTCCTTTTCATCTTCTATGTAGTCGAAATAGTATAGTTATAGATTTAGGTTTAGTGATCCCTCCTTCATATCCAATAACTACGGAAACGCCCCTTCGTTTATGATACAAAAAAGATAGTATTTAACAAATTTTTTTATTAAAATCTAAAAATTGTAAAAATTAAATATCACTCTTGATTATATTCCGATTAAACGTTAGGGCGTTATCTTCTCTATACCTTATTCTCTTCTTTCTTCTGTAGGCTTACCTCACCTTTAAACCTGTAATAATCCAAGCTTTAACCCAAATCTAAAGTTACCTTAAACGTGGCTTATATACCTATATACGTTACTGGCGATTACGTGACAGTAATCCCAGAAGGTCGTTATTAATGTCTAAGAAATATTTATGGCATCGTATCGAATTGCTATTACGACTGAATTTCGATGCTCGATGAAAAAGTCAATCAATTACTTTGCATTTTGCAAGTTGCTATGGTTGATATTTTTTCATGTATTATATATATAATAACTCATAGTATATATTTATAATGATAATAATAAACTGTTTCGATTAGGTACAACGCTAATCGAGTAGCAATATTGAAATCGTAAGCTTAAATGTTATGTGTGTAATGTGTAAAAGATAGTGTAACATTAGCTGAATGTCGAACCTGACTCCTTTAGCTGATTATAAAATTACCGTTGATCCTGCAGATAAATCAGCAGTACCATTGCTTGACCGACGGTATTCCAGTCTCTCATTATAAGAATACTGTCTAAAGATTATATGATTACTGCAGGTTTTCTAAAAAGCAAGTCACGATCGGCTGGCAAATGTGCGGACTTCTGGAGAGCGGAAAAGAGATTTCGCTTTTGGATCAGGCACACTGTGAAGACTCAGTGGTTCTATTGGTTCGTCATTGTCTTGGTGCTCTTCAACACTATATGCGTTGCTGTCGAGCATTACAGACAACCTAAGTGGCTAACATCATTTTTATGTAAGTCCATTTTTATTTAAACTTACGTACTTTATTATTTATGATTTATAAGGAATAGGAAATAACCGTAACATTTAGGTATTGTGTAATCATTTATTTAGGAATAACTTTAAGTGGTATCTTAGTTATTTCATCAAACAGCTCATAAGCACGTCTTGTTTAACCTGATCGAAATATTGACATAACCTTAGGTAAATGGTTAGGTGTATTGCAACTAAATGATCTCATTTTTTTCCATCTCTTAAGTAACATAATATAGAAACTTCTCCTGTTACATTATTTATGTCTCCATTTACAAATAACACCAAAGAAGTGTACCCGTATATACAAATTTCAAAATCATTAATCACTGTTTTGTTTCAGACTATGCTGAATTTGTGTTCCTGTGTTTGTTCATGATGGAGATGTGGGTGAAGATGTACGCATTGGGGCCGCGTATATATTTTGAGTCCTCATTCAACCGCTTTGACTGTGTGGTTATATCTGGCTCCATCTTTGAAGTCGTCTGGTCAGAGGTTAAGGGCGGTTCCTTTGGTCTCTCTGTTCTTAGAGCCTTACGACTATTAAGGATATTTAAGGTAATTCTTTGTTATAATTATTATGACATTTTATCAAACCTTCCCACGTTATTATTTTATTTTATTTGTATCTTCTTCTTCTTTCTTGAATAACTTTTATAATATTGTTTGTATATTGCCTACTAGATTTTAAAAATTATTTAAAACCTTTCTTTGCTAACTTCTTGTCACAATATCATTCTATATTTAACATTTTTAATACACACTTTTTTTTATTTCAGGTCACCAAATACTGGTCTTCACTAAGAAATCTGGTGATATCTCTCCTAAATTCAATGAGATCCATCATTTCTCTGCTGTTCCTTCTGTTCTTGTTCATCCTCATATTCGCCTTACTTGGTATGCAGTTGTTTGGGGGACAGTTCAACTTCGAAGATGGCACACCGCCAACTAATTTCAACACCTTTCCTATCGCGTTACTTACTGTCTTCCAGGTAAATATACAATATACTGCTTACTTTTATAATATAAAAATTAAAAAGACAACTTAATTGACAAAGTTACCTTAAATAAATATCTAAATAAGGACCATTCAATTAAAGTAAGAAAGTATTGGTTCCACTAAAACTAAATTTTTTTTTTTAATTTTTATAAAAAAAAAATTAAAAATACGTGTAAGAAATAACATATAACTGAAATGATATGTGCCTACTTATGAAATGTCGCTTTTACTAAGGTCTGTGTTTCAAACGTCAGAATTTGAATACTGTACGTTCTTTTCTTATGTTTCGTAGATTCTAACAGGAGAAGATTGGAACGAAGTGATGTACGATGGCATCCAATCTCAGGGCGGTATACAGAGGGGCATGATCTACTCGCTATACTTTGTCATTCTCGTGTTGTTCGGGAACTATACTCTACTGAACGTGTTCCTTGCCATCGCTGTCGACAATTTGGCTAATGCCCAGGTGATTATCATGCTATGTTAGATGTTTCGCTTTAGTTGATGATAAAAGCTGTAAAATTCGCTTAAAATATATAGTACAATTATAAGAACGATATGTTTTATGTATTTATAATCAACCAAAGCAAAATAAAAAAGTGATTGTAAAAATCTACAGACGGTGAATAAGTGATGTTGTGTAAACGTTGAAGCTCAATTGTAAATCTGACGCCGCTTCTCGTGTAAATGTTGCATTTGTGTTATTTCAGGAGTTGACAGCGGCTGAAGAGGAACAAGAGGAGGAAGATAAAGAAAAGCAGCTCCAAGTAAGTGTGCTTCCGTTTGTCTGTCACGCTGTTACACTAGAATGTTACCTTTCATCCTCTGATGCTTTAACTTTAGAATAGAATCACAACTTCAATGCATAGCATGTTTGCCACTCTTCCACCAGTATTTACTTTTAAAATAGTTGTTGTATGGAAGATTGGACCTTTTATTTAGATATGTGAAGTTCAATATGTTTCATACGACAACCTCTGTTCCGGTGAATTAGGAATTGGAGAAAGAGATGGGTGCGTTACACGCGGTGGACGGAACCCCACCGCGGGTAGACTTAAACCCTTCTTCGCCTGCGAGTAGGAAGGTAAAAGCAGTTGGGCGGTGGTACTAAGCTACGCTTACTCGTGTGCATTGGTGTCGACCACTTAAAATATTGTTGATGTTTATAAACTGATCTTTTCTCATTATCCCGTGTTGTGGTCCATTTTTACACTGCTGCATCGCATGTTGTGTGTACGTTGATGATATTTTGCTGCTTAGTCTCGTTGCATTGTGTGTTGTAGATACACTTTACCTCTCTGCTTAGATACGTTTTCAAGTCAACAATATTTTAAATGTGGTCGAGATGAGATATCGGTGTCGCTTTTGTGGGCAGAATGTTACAATAGGTGTTCTTTTAAAATTCTATCAACGTTCATATCTCTAGATGGCTATTCCATAGAGGTATTGGATATTTTACATTGATTTGTCGATTTGGTCTAGGGCACATAATTATTATGAAAGTAGTATAGGAGTAGTATCAAATATGAATAATGTTAGTTCATTGTTTATAAATGCTTTGTTGCTATCCAATTTATTGCGCATATTTTGTTAACGTCGATTGTAGATTTCACTAGCACGTTAATAACAATAATCTTGTTCAGTAGATTACTTCTAATAATTATAATTTTTATATTAACGTATTATTATTATTTATTAATTTAATGCAAGTAGTCAATGCATTTAGTTCAATCAAAACATTATTTTGTAAAACGACATTTTTAAGCAGCTGATATTATTCATATAAGTCTTCTGAATACATTTTTAGTATAATTAAATGGTTGTATTTAAATAATTACTTAAATTACACGGAGTGTAAGTCTCGTAATATATTTTTATAAAACTGACAAAAATAATGGATTGATTGGATCACTTGCATACCTATATATATATATATATATATATATATATATATATATATATATATATATATATATATATATATATATATATATATATATATATATATATATATATATATATATATATATATATATATATATATATATATATATATATATATATATATATATATATCATTTTAAAATATAATTCATTTTCATATTCTTATGTTTATAAAATATATACGATAAATGATAATGAATCATTTAATTATTTAATTTTCAAGGTGATGAGAGCACCTTGATAAATAAAAATTATGCTCTCAACTGTATCTCAGGTAGAGTAGGTACGGCTCATATTTAACGAATTTACATGCCAATAACTATACTAACAAGATTCTTTGTCGGGTGTACATCAATATTAATTTTTGGTTTTATTTAAATTTCCTAACAATGCTTGCTAAAGATGATATACATTCATGTATTAACTGCTAGTATGATTTATTTTTTCAATTAAAATGCTAGTAGAAGTAGAGAGAGTCTGTCTACAGATAAAAGGTAATCTGTGAGTTTGGCATATCCCGCCGTATATTTACTTAGAATTATAATAATTAAAAAAAATATATATAATTTTTTTTTTTTTTTTTTTTAATTCTTTTAAATTATTTTATGAATTGCATTCATAAATATTCCAGAACAAAAAGAAAGAAGAGGCCAAAAAAGAAGACGAAGAGGAGATACCAGATGGACCAAAACCAATGCTGCCATATTCGTCCATGTTTATTTTATCACCTACGAATCCGTAAGTTAATAAGTGGAATATGTAAAGATATTAATAACTCGAAATCTTCTTTAACACTTTCATAAAAATAGAATACAATCAAAAGAAAGTAACACTTATATTCCGTACAATATAGTTCCTCACTGCCCCTCTCTCGAGCTGGCCTCACCCTCTCTCCATAATTTGAACATAACCTACAAGGTACACCCATACTTGACAAATATTGGTTAATATTGGTATATACACACAAACAGGTACATAAACATTATTAAATTATTATAGACATGAACAACAACTTTGTTACATCCAATAACATGGATGTAACAAAGTATACTTTGTCGCCCATGATACCGCTCATACGTTATTATTTCTATTGGACTAAGATGTTATGCCTCTGCACCCTATATTTTACTGCAGTAGTATAATATTGTTGAGAGATAAACGTAAAAACAATTATAATATCCTGATAAAAAAAAATGTTTTTGTTTGTTACAGAATTAGGCGAGGTGCACACTGGGTTGTAAATTTAAGATATTTTGATTTTTTTTATTATGATAGTTATATGTATGAGTTCTGCGGCTTTAGCAGCTGAAGACCCTGTAGTCGAAGAAAGTAGCAGGTAAGATATTTATGACTTTTCTTGTATGTTTTTTGAAATATTTCATTAATGATATAACAAACTTAACCAAAATCAATTTTCTGAAAAGAAAAAAACGAATTAAATATCTAAATACGAAATCACTCTAAATTTAAAATATGTACAGGAACAAAATCTTGAACTACTTCGACTACGCGTTTACGGGTGTATTCACGGTGGAAATGCTGCTGAAGATCGTGGACTTGGGCATCCTGTTCCACCCGGGCGCTTATCTGCGCGACCTCTGGAATATCATGGATGCCGCTGTTGTAATCTGCGCCCTCGTCAGCTTCGGTTTCGAGATCGGGTACGTTACAATCTCCTCTTTTGATACTAAAAATGTATTAGAGAATTAATTACATCTACTGGGATTGATTCTAAGGTACCATCACCTAAACTCATCTCTAAAAATACAATTTTATTTTAATGAATTAATAGTACAGCAGTTTTGATACACTAAAGATTTAATTTATATTGATATAGATAGTGTAATTATTTCGCTGTAATATCAAATATTAAAAATGGTTATATTATAATTTTAAAGAACAGTGCTTCAGAATCTACCCAGTGTCGTTTTTTCCAAAACAAAGAAATATGCATTACAATTTTTGTATTATAATTATTATATGTTGGTCAGCATCAAACCTTACATTGAATTTTGACAATTTTCTCTGGATCACAAATTATAATTATAATTCTCTCAATGAATATTCCTGATTTTTTTTTTTTTATTTCTTGCAGAGGTGTCAGAAAAGGGGCGGGACAGAATCTATCCACAATAAAATCGTTAAGAGTGTTAAGAGTGCTCAGACCATTAAAAACTATAAAACGTGTTCCAAAGCTAAAAGCGGTGTTTGACTGTGTTGTGAACTCTTTGAAAAATGTCATCAACATTCTCATTGTGTATATATTGTTTCAATTCATATTCGCTGTAATTGCAGTTCAACTTTTTAATGGTAAATTTTTTCACTGCAACGATATCAGTAAGAATACTTATGAAGACTGCCAGTAAGTATTATGTGCTGCAATTTTCTTTTACCACTTGTTTTCAATAAATATTTTACAGACTCCATCCATAAAAGTAGCTACACAAACAACTTAAAGCTTTGAATAATCAATCTTAATGCTGAATATCAATCAGATCTTGATATTTTTTTAATTAGAAGATGACAAACGTGTTATACAACTTAATCGGGATAGATGGGAAAAGAGTCATCTTTTGCATAATACCAATTCTTGTGAGTTTTACTGTTATAATGTCATCTCAAAAACCTGAATATAATTTTACAAGAATCGATGACAAAAATCTTTTTTTCTAGTATAATGTTTCTTTTTTTATATTTAGAGTATATAAATTCATATTTTCGTAAATTCACAAGTCGCTCCATTTGCAGAGGGTCGTATTTCGTGTACGAGTCCAACAGCCTATTGCCACACGTGATGCCACGACAGTGGAAGACACAAAATTTCCATTACGACAATGTGGCTGTCGCAATGTTGACGCTGTTTGCGGTACAGACGGGGGAAGGGTGGCCACAGTAAGTGCTTTACACGCAATAGATCTCTTTTGTAAACTAAATATAATTTCAAAATTTGTATAGATATATCTTAATACAGTAAATTGTTATGTTAAAACTATAGGTACATATTAATTTAACAAAACTTCAAAATTATTGTAAGTTACTTAAAGATACCTAAAATTTGAAGTTACGATTCAATATATCTTTTTTTTTTCAAGATTGATATAATAATACAAATAGTGAAAATAAATAATTTTAGAAACGAACTGTTATATGTAATATAGCTTAAAATGTACATAATACCATATTTAACGTCTCTGTCCCTATTTTATTAACATAAATTTTAAATTGTTAATACAATTGTGCTAAAGTGCATCACTTTTTTTACAGAGTATTACAGAATTCAATGGCCGCGACGTACGAAGACAGGGGACCCATACAAAATTTTCGAATAGAAATGTCCATATTTTATATCGTTTACTTTGTGGTGTTTCCTTTCTTCTTTGTTAACATATTCGTAGCTCTGATAATTATCACATTTCAAGAGCAGGGTGAAGCTGAATTGCAAGATGGTGAAATTGATAAAAATCAGGTACGTTCTCTAGATATTACTATCTTGGGCTTTATTTTAAGCAAACTACTAATAACTATTTTACATATTTACAGAAATCATGTATAGACTTCACGATAGAAGCACGTCCTCTAGAGAGGTATATGCCAAGCAAAAGGGCGAGTTTTAAGTACAAAGTGTGGAGAATAGTCGTCTCTACGCCCTTCGAGTACTTCATCATGACCCTTATCGTCCTCAACACATTGTTGCTCATGATGAAGGTATGTATCATCGTGTTTGTTGGGTGTCTAAATATGTCATAGAATATAAAATGTTAGCAGAAATTTATAATCAAAACATTATTATGAACATGAAGCGAACATTTCTTCAAAAATGATCTCAACAAATTACATAACTACAAAAGCAATATGAGCACCTTCAATGTGAAATGTAGAAAATTACCACTTATTATTGAGGTAGAGCCTGTTACACAAGGCACAGACAAAAACGGTCTAGATCTAGTGTAAACCCCTTGACAGTCACAGAAGCTTGCACTGAACCTGACTAGAGAGTTGTTTGTTTTATGTTATCAATACAAAAAATCTGATTAACCTTATCTAGTTTGTCAAAGGAGGCAACTTCCTCACGATATATAAATTACTTTTGTGAATTCTGCGTCTAATAACTGTTGGCACTTATTTCTACTTAGCAAATTAAGATTAATGTTAATGTCTAAATCTTTAGCAACACTTGTCTTTCGAATAAAAAAATCACAACTATCTGCGACCGTATAATAATTGGCAACGATAAGTACTGCCTAGAACTCAAACAACTACTATACACAAATCAACATTCAAATACACACAAACCTACAGAAATACAAAAATTTTTGTCTCTGTGTTCGGTGTCAGTATTTGAAATATGATTGAGCCTTTCCTGTCAAATGTACCGACAAATCTTTATTTAATACATCCTGTGTTTTGTTGAGTAATCCTTACGTGATTCCTTGCTTGCTTATTTATATAACATTATTATGTATCAGTGTTTACTGCACGATATACCTATCCTTCCTGCACTTCTACAGCACAACATACACTAACATTTTGTTCAGTTATTCGTGCTTGTGAATGCACAACATCTCTTAAGTCAGTTAGGATGTGGCATGGGCCATTAATGTTGTTCGTGTTGCATGATCTTATTTATGACCTATGATCCTAATTGTCTTTATATGGAATTTCTGCATGATTGATGGAATGGCCTACTGCCAGGTGTGTCTGTCGGTGGCTAAACGCTGCTTTATATTTTTATTCAGAACATAATTTGTCGAAACTATTATAATAATTTATTGAAAAGAAAACGAGAAAATTGGACTAAAATTAAATAAACGTCATTTACGTACAATTATACTCATATTTGTTTTATCATAACTTTTTATTTTTACTATAATCAACTTATGTCTAAAAACATATATATCCAGCGAGAGCTATTATTTCACTGTGTCCCCGTGAAATTATTATTATTTTATTTTAACATAAACTTTAATTGCACATTTCCTTACCAAATCCATTACCATAATCCTTCTTCTTATAATTTCCATTGAAAAGAAAATATTAGAGTATAACAATGAGATTAACCAGAAAAACTGTTCTATAACCCACATCATGTACTTATCTATACAAATTTCATTCTGTACAATCACCACAATACTTTATATGATATACTTATGGAATAACAAAAATATGTATTTTCATTGCCATGGGTTTATCCAATACGCCCGGCACATCTTCACAAAATGGCAGTACTATAATCAAAACGACCTCTACGCGGATATCCTCAAGTATTCGAATATGGGTTTTACTGGAATGTTTTCTGTGGAAACGGTGTTGAAAATCATCGCTTATGGTGTCAAAGTAAGTACACAAACACACAAGTTTGGATGGACACAAACAATACAATTAAATAAGAAAGAAACGATATAGGTGCAAATGTACTCTTTCTTTTATTAACCTAATTGTTTTGTCTATTTACATGACTGTATGGGATTATTTCCAGCCGAGTAAATATCACCCCTTCCTGTGTCCGTTACTACTTTCTCTCTAAAATGTTGAGAGTAATGATATAAATTAATTTGCAAGTTGTTAAGCATGGCTTTATCTTCCCGCTGCATGTAGCACTTGTATAACTACACGTTCCTCGACTAATGAACTCTTTGTCATTTTATTGTTACTAAACATCTTCAGATTTTGTCAGTTTCCTGTATAATAACTAAGGTAAGTTGCCGGAATCAGCAGCCTTCAAGGTTAGTACATACTTTTATATTAGTAAACCTTTAATATAAGTGGAATGGGTTAAATGTCGTGACCGCCCATATGCATGGTTGTACATTCTAATATGCATGCAAGCACGTGCACTAAAATACCAATGAACTATTGGAAAGACATGATTACACAAATCTAAAATGGGCTCATAAAAACGCAAATCAGTACAAATACACAAACACCAACCGTTACACTCACTACATAATAAATATGATTCAGTTTATTTTCTTATAAATAGCAGTTAGTTAGGATTTTAATTTCTTAGATATATGCAAGTTAAATGCTAGAACATACCTTTATATGAAGTAATTGTTTGCATTTTTTCGGTTTCTGTTCTAGCAATTAGCTTTTATATTTATGTCTGATGATATTTTTGGGTTAAGGTTAAAAATATTGGTATTAATTTTGTGGTAGTTTCACGAGGCTCCACTACTACTCATGGACATGTTAGCATTCATGAACTTCGTCTTTACGTTCTTCTTCCTTCTCGAGACCGTATTGAAGCTGATTGCCTTCGGATGTACGGTAAGGAATTATACACTTTATTAGCATTAAAGTTACAGTTCATATTATTATTACCACGATCTGTCATTTATGACGGTTTCATATATAAAATAATATGTACCTCATTCATAATGCTGACTGTATGTACAAAGCAAACATTGAAATTAATTTTTAAAAGTCGGTATATACAGGTATTTATAAACTATCGTTATTTACTATTTTAGATATATAAGGATTCTACTTTTTAAAATTATATTTATATTTTATAGTCACTGCTAAAATAACTAAATTTTAATGTTTTGCCTTTGACATACTACACTGTTATTTTTATTGACTTATTTCTTAGATTAGTATTAATATTCAATATTGACTTGAATATATTTAAAGCTAGAGATCATTTGATAGAAAGTTTTGAAGAATACGCTTGTTTAAATAAAATTAGGTTTTAATAGATTTTCATAGTTATATTTTTATTCATGTGCAAAATATTTTTTAAGTATTTACATAGATATTTAATAATCGAGAGAAATTTCCTGATTCCTTTCCTTAGTCAAAAGTCCTTTTGTCAAATGAATAATATAATTAAGAATTCTTTACAATAGAAAGTGTACATTTGTATACTATAAGTAATTTTACATAATTTTATAGATTTACAAATTATATTCCGCTTAGTTACTTGAATAATAAATAACTTGATTAAAATTGGCTCAGCAACTAACATAACTTTTTTTTGCAGAATTTTTTCAAAGACCCATGGAATACATTTGATTTCATAACGGTCATTGGAAGTATTATTGACGCCCTCATTATGGAGTTTGGCGTGAGTATTAATATTTATTCGCCACCTTACACAGCTTCAGATTTCTTTCCGTTACCTTTGCTTCTACAACTGTTTGCGTTTTCTTTTCTGGTAATGTGTCAATTTCGTATGAAAGTAAACATAAGGATATATCCTGATTACAGACCGACCTTGCTGAAAACTGTGCTGACATATCCTGTCAGCAGGTAACAAATTAATCATTTAATTGCTAGGAAAATTAGATTTTCTGTAAAGAATTGATCATTGGTTTAGAGGAGTATGTATAAATATTACCGAAAAACCTTTCAATAATAGTAGTGCTAGAAAATTTTAGCAAAGGATGTTTAGATTAATTGTAGTGATTTATGTAGGTACAATGGTGTGCTAGGGAATCATATTTTTGGGGTTGTTTAGAGATTAAGAAGTCATTTTTAATGTTTTTTATTGATTACAGCTATATTTTCTATTAAAAATTAGAATTTTATCATTTTATCGGACTATAAAATTAATACTTAAATATTATAGACTCAGAATACATTAGAGTCTAGTCTAATATAATTTTCATTTCATTCCTATCCCTATCCATCATTTCTTTACATCTGTCACTTACATCGTTAGTAATTTTATGCTAGTGTACTGTTTACTCGAAACTGTTGTTAGTATTATAATTATTTAGATTTAAATACGCGCGTCTTGCTAAAAGCTTTAAAAAACTTTTTATATCTGTAATTGGAAATGTTTGTGCAAGAAAGTTAGTAGATATTAATCCATGCCAAATCATAGTCGTGTTGTCGATTTTTTTAACACTTAGCTAGTTATAAGTTCACTGCCTATTCCTCACTAGTTTATTCAACATTTCCAGGAGAACACTTTCAACGTTGGTTTCTTACGCCTGTTCCGAGCCGCGCGACTGATCAAGCTGCTCAGGCAGGGCTACACCATTCGAATACTTCTCTGGACATTCGTGCAGAGTTTCAAAGCCTTACCCTACGTGTGCCTTCTCATCGCGATGCTATTCTTCATCTACGCCATCATCGGGATGCAGGTCTGTTATTTCATTTCTACTGATCACTTCAAATCACATTTATAGAAATGTCTTTGTAAAATATATATACAATAATATCTTTAGTTAAACAAAATTAAAAGATATAGATATTTTTCATAATTAATTGATTAATTGCATTAACGGGGAATCTCATACAAAATTAATTGAGTTTGATATTAGAAAATTACCTAGGTACAATTCGTTTTAAAAATTTACGTTCATTAGCTTTTTCTTTTTGTTTAATATATTAATAATTTTATTCTATGAAGGATTTATATTTAAATAATAAAATATTTTATACCACACCTGCTTGGAAAGTAGCTGAATTTTTCCCTTAAAATAAAAATCTGAGAGATATGAAAATCCGTAGAAAGAGCACATGTATGTTTAAATCCATTATTCTTTTCTTATTTAATTTCTGAATTTTTATACAAACATTAAAAGAATATTTAGCCCAGCTTTATTGTATTACCCAAATATAATTGTGCGCTAAAACGAAAATACTAATCAGTATTAAAATTTTTATCGATGTTGGTAATTAATCTCCATTTTGATAAATAAAAATGTAGGAAGTACAAAAAAAAACAGTACTTATATACTAAGACTTGTTTTGTTTTGTAAGGGTAAACAAGCTATGGGCCCTTTAAGCTTTTCATGGTAACCGTAGCATAAAAATGCGACTAGCACAATGGACATTACGGAATTCTCGGTCATATTTAGCTTTCAATAATTTTAATGTAACAAAACATTGACATAACTACGTTTACCTACATAATAATTTCCTACAAGTGTGGTATAAAACGCTATATGTTATTCGGAAGAAAGTAAGAAAGTTTCCCAGCGTATTGGTAATCGTTCACTTTCTTTCCTCTGTGAAAAATATAACTATTACTAATATGTATAATATTAATAATATGGATGTTATTTTTTTTATATGATAACGTATTTTAGCAGTATTTAGTATTTATTGTAGAATTGGGGGTATGTTTAGGTCAATATTCAGTCCCTAAAATCTTATCTAGATTTAGTTAAAATAGTCATGTCTAGTTTGATCATTACTAGAGTACATTCATAAATTTAGTCTGAAGTGCATAAGCCCCAATAGATTTAACATTTTTACCTTATTCAATATTTTAGCATTCATTTCATTTAATTCCAAATACCTGCTCATTGTGTATGAATCATAACCTAACCTCAAAGTAAATAGATACACGAATTGGGGACGAAAAACATTTTAGTATAGTAGGTATTGACACGTTTCTAATGGCAGGTTTTCGGAAACATCCAATACGATCCAGACAGTGCCGTCAACAGGCATAACAACTTCCGATCTTTCGTGGGGGCACTTTTGCTACTATTTCGGTGAGAGTACAGTAACGCGTAGTTGTATCGACCCTAATTGTTCACATGTCTACCGTATCGGCGTAGTCACCAGATGTTTCTGTGAAAGAACGTCCAGCAAAAGGATCTCTTAGAGAGCATGGCACATGGAACCTCGTCGGATGTTGCATCTTGTTACTCGATTCATTCTTGCGGTCACAGTCGAAAATCTGTCTTTACTATCAGTGTTACTTGTGTAATCCTATACATCTCTCATTATCATCGGATATGCGGATATTATCATCAATCAACATAACGATAGCATCTTAAACATAAAAATGTAGCTTTAGTCGATCCTTAGTGAATTCAAATTGTCCTCTGATTGATTGTCCTTGGATTTGGATATGCATCTTATGTTTGTACCTTGTCTAGATAAATATGTATACCTTTGCTTTTCATATCGTATCCCTAGTGCTAGCAATAGACACGTCATTCAGGTAGCCTTTTAGTATATGCATCGGGGTGTGGAGCATAGGATGTTCGGGTAACACGTATGTACTGCACTAAGCTGACTTTTCGTGTTGTATCTGCTTGCACACAGGTGTTTGGCAATATAGATATAACACCAGACTCAGATATGAACAGACACAACAATTTTCGAAACTTCATTCAAGCACTCATGCTACTGTTCAGGTAAGGAACGTTACTTACAATAGCTCTGGTTTACACGAAAGAAGCTCACCGTAGAAATGCTCACCACAATGCGAAAAATTTGTTTCTCATTATTTATTCAAATTTTAATTTTCATTCGAAACCGTAGTACACTGTGTATAGAGGATATCGTGTTCTTAGTTTTGCAAAAGTGCTTTTAGCAGTTGTTTTGTGGTAATATGTCACTAGTAAATACTTAGTCTATATATACCCTAGGTAACTTTTATTTAAAAACCAGCATGTAGACAATGCATGCATAATATCACCTAATATCTCCGCTTAAAAATATATTAATTGTTTTAGGTAGAATTTAAAATTAACTAACAATGATTATTTTTTATTCTTATAACATTCAATATATTTTCTTATATTTATTATATTCATAACCAATCAATCTCAGAATTGCATTTATTTTATTACTAGATGGGTTTGTGCTTGATCTTATCTCACTTGATGATAAGTGATGATAAGATCTAGGATGAAACGCTCTTACCAATAATTTCAAATATTGGTAGTAATAGTGAATTAACTTTTCTATATTCATGATATATATCTGATGAAAACCGATTTCCTGTGAGCCACAATGTCTTTAGATGCGCGACCGGAGAGTCTTGGCCCAATATCATGTTGGCGTGCCTCAAGCCGGCCAAATGTGACAAAGCCGCTGGAAAGCCAGCCAACGAAATGTGCGGCAGCACCCTCGCCTATGCCTACTTCGTATCATTTATATTCTTCTGTTCGTTCCTTGTAAGTATTTACACTATATGGAAAATTTATATATAAATAAAAAAATATATAAGGGGTCTTAATAAAAGTAAAAGAAGTCAAAATAATAATTTTATTTGTCTATCTCTATGTCTATGCTACACGAAATTGGATGCGGTTTCCACAGTTATATTTCTTAAAAGTCTAACTTAAAAATTTGTGTATATTTTATCTTGATGTACCATCTAGAAGTAGTCTATTTCAATTATTTGGACTTCTGGAATCCACGCGTACGAAGTAGCGTATAAAATTCTAATAGTGTAATAAAATCTTTTCGTTCTTTAATAAGTCTATCGTTTATTTGTATAAACTGAGCTTTGCGCCGCGGCTTCAACCGTGGTGTAATAGTGATGATGAATAGCCTATAACCAGCCTCAAGAAAAGTATTTGCAGTACAAATATTATTAATAAAAAATAGCTAATTTAATAACAATACGTTTTACAGATGTTGAATCTGTTCGTCGCCGTCATTATGGATAACTTCGATTATCTGACGAGGGACTCGTCCATCCTCGGAGCTCATCACCTTGATGAATTTGTAAGAATATGGGCAGAATATGATCCAAACGCAACGTAAGTACATTACCATCAAATACTGTTGAAATCTTTCTACTTGCCAAGGAGTAATTAAATATCAAAACTATTATTTCAGAGGGAAGATTCATTATACAGAAATGTACGATATGTTGAAAAATATGGATCCACCGCTGGGGTTTGGCAATAAGTGTCCAAATAGACTAGCGTTTAAAAAGTTAATTAGAATGAATATGCCCCTAGACGACGAGGGGAAAGTTAATTTTACAACAACACTATTTGCCTTAATTCGGGAAAACCTGAACATCAAGATGAGATCTGGTAATGTATAACAAATATTATATAATTTTATTGTCTGAAAGAAGAATCTTTTAGCGATAATTGCAAACTAGTGTAGATTAAACAAAATAGTGATTCAAATGGCAAAATAAATATAATATTTTCAACAGCCGAAGAAATGGACCAAGCAGACGAGGAACTGAGGGAAACTATTACCCACATATGGCCTCTCCAAGCGAAGAAGATGTTAGACTTGCTGGTGCCTCGAAACGACGTACTCAATACTGGAAAACTGACCGTCGGAAAGATATATGCGGGTTTGCTTATCTTGGAGAATTGGAGAACGACAAGGTTTGGCCGGGATAAACCACAAGGCGTTTCGGTAAGGAAACTGATGAAATAACCATTTATTTAACATTTAATTGATATATATTTATCTTGATAAAGTAGATATAAATGAAGCCAGAGTAAATACGTGTGGCTTTTGCCTATTGTATATATTATACGTAAATTTCTGCAACTTTGAGCCAAATGTAACTTTTACGTGGGTAGGTATACTACACGTTATAAGTAGTGTTTGTTGATGGCCCCTATAAATCCCCACATTAGATTACAAATTTGAGACATCATAGTTAGATAAATAGAGTTGGTTGTGTTGTCTACCTGTGGATGTATTGTTGTGTATATGACGATCCGTTGCATTACTAAATTGACATATATATCGTGTCCTCGATGACCTAAGATTGGCTCCCTCATGAACGTTCAAGTCATAAACAGTACAACAATACAGTGTCACTTTAGTTGAAATCGGCTCTAATGAGTCGACTACATTGGTGGTTTACTTTTCAGGCATTCAGCGAGAATAGCCCTACGGCCATTCAGCCGGTAGTATTAAAATATTTTACGGATCGAACTTTGACTACTTTTTTCTTGCACTGTTCTAGATATTTTTTGTTTTATCATGAATTTCTTCTCGCATCGTGTTTAAATGATTCATACTTAATTCCAAGACAAAACAAAATAAAGCAAATCGCGATAGCCGATATAATGCTATGATCTATAAAAAAAGCTTTCATAAATTAATCAATTAAACAGACGTAGTTTAGAACATAACAATTAATTAGATTTAGTATATCATGACGCACTTGATGTTCTTAGTTGGGGCAAAATTGTGCGTGTCCAGCACTTTTTTGTCTAGTCAAGTGTCCGTCAGGGCTTTGTAAACCACGATATAGTGACCTGTCCTATAGTTGCAAAATTCTTAGTAGACCAGTGTGTCTGTGTTGAAGTTTGATTGGTTTGTCTAGTAGTATTAGCAAGTCCTTCTGTAGTTTTGTTTGTCTTCCCCAATTGTGTCGTCTCTATTACTTGCCCTTGTCTCGCTATGTTCTAGCTAGACGGTACCTACATCCACTTAGCATTCAATTTATTAGTTCCTTTCCAGAGTCTATGTATCATATTCATACTACTTTTAACAATAACTGGTGCATGATTTTTATTGACATTATGTGAAACTGATTTTATTTTTTATTTCTACTGTGGCTTCCTGGTTATGAATTTACATGTTTGATTTAATTACATTTTGGCTCAATAAATACCTATATCATTTTAGAAGCCTGATTTAAAAAAATGAAATACTATGCTTACTTGCTACCTACGCTCTTATTTGCATATCGTATTTGTACCATAGCATAAGGTTTGAAAACAGAATATGATTCTCAAATCTGCGCATGCTGGAGAACAGAACATACTTTTATGTACCTATATATTTTGGACTTTTATAATAAAACTGGAAAGTGCCGTTTCATGATTTCGCTGATGAATATATCTGCCTCTGGCTTCAATTTTGCACACAATTTTATATACGCACATGTTTAATTTACTATCAAAATGCTTTGTAATTTACAGCTCGTATACCTACATTAAACAGATACGGTTGAACCTACATGTATACGTCAATACTGAACATCGACCACTGACATGCCATTTTACGACTAATTCGAATTATTTTCTCAGATATCTCTAGCCGCATTCAGCTTCACACTAAAAATACAGTTCGTAACCCTTAGGATTATGTCCATTTGTTGGATTTCTACCACACATTACAACACACACAAACGTAACAACACAATAATTGAGTAACATAAAGAACTCCAGCATGGACATGATGTATGGGATGTTTGCGCAAACTCATGTAGGCTTTAGCCGTTAGATTGCGTCCATACGCTTGGACAATGTGTGACATGAGCATGCGCAAGTGTGCGTGTGTGGGGTGGGTGCGTGACGTGGGGTGCGTGGTGCAGAAGGCGTCCTTCTTTAACTGCTTCCTGGACGTGGCGGCGGGGCTGGGCCCCGGCTCGCGCACCGGCTCGCTGAGTCACGAGCCGCCCGCCGGCGCAGTTGACGGCCACACTGATGACCCACACATGCTTACCAACTTCGCACGGCGCAATACCAGAAGATCATTGAAGTTAGTATTATTGTTTTTTTATATATGTTATCTATCGGTGTTCGCGAGTAAAATTTTTGGATTTTCCCTTGGATATGAGATATTTTGTCGCATTTTTCGTGAAACAGTTGTGTTTACACAGCTGTATTTCGGTCTCAATAGTGGGATATGGCATTGACATTACAGGGTACAGAGGCATAACATCTTGGTCCTAAGGAATAGCAACGCATAAAGATTATCATAGTCGTCAAATTATAATCTGTATTCCATGTCTATAGGCGACGGTTACCACTTTCCATTAAGTGGACTGTCGACTTGTTTGCCATTGTAAATTGCATAAAAAATCTATGTGTAGATCCAAGCACTAGGTTATCGCGTCACCAAATTTTATAAAAGTCTGTCAAGTACGAGGTCTGTCCGGAAAGTTCGTATAAAAGTGTTCTGGAATGCGAGAAAGAGGAGTGGGGAGGCCAGGTAAGCGCAGGACCCCTTCCTTATGTCCCTAACAATGCTTCAGTTCTGGTCTGACCGCCGTGCGGTGCGAACTGGCTTGTCACGCCATCTGTGAAGTTACCTCTTAACGAAACCCCGTCGGCATGGAGCCCGCTTCCGTTGAAGAGCAGCGCGTCGTAATCAAGTTTCTCTCGAAACTCGGCAAGAATGGCCGTGAAATTTTTATTATATCTCAGAACAGTAAAATCCCAAAGCAAAGAGTGGAAGACATCCGGGGAACCACGAACAAAAAAATCAAGAAAATCCCGCTCAAATGTCAAGACAATGTTGATTGTTTTTTTCGATGTTCGGGGGATTGTCCATCAAGAATAGGCCAGACAGTTGATGGAAAATTCTACGTCGATGTGCTCAGACGCCTCAAAGCTCGTGTGGCACGAGTTCGTCCAGAATTGGCGCGAGAGGGGCGTTGGATTCTTCACCACGACAATGCCCCTGCCCACACCTCTCTTGTTGTCCGTGAGTTTTTGAGTAAAAATTCCATTACGGTGACCGAACACCCCCCCTATTCGCCGGATTTGGCCCCGTGTGACTTCTTCTTGTTCCCAAAAACCAAATTGGTACTTCGGGGGCGGCATTTGGGGGACATAAATGAGATAAAAAAAGCTACGACGGGGCAGCTGAGAAACCTACAACCAGAGGACTTTCAAGGAGCCTTCTCACAGTGGAAACGGCGTTGGCACAAGTGCATTATGTCACAGGGGGAGTACTTTGAAGGGGATAAAATTGATTTACCTGAATAATTGTAAAATAAAATTTTTAAAAAACTTTTATACGTACTTTCCGGACAAACCTCGTAATTTAATTGCGTTATTCGTACACAGACGTCATGTAGTTACAGTTTTATTATTATATATTATATACTTAGATTAAAGGTAAATTGTGGGAAATATTATGTTTTTCATACTACTGGAAATTACAAACAAGCCTGGGACCTACTTGATGGAAAGTGAGACCTAACTACAACACCCTAAAATATATTAAGATATAATAGATATTTTCTCTTAACAACTTGAATACTCCATTCAATTCATTTCAAAAAGTTTTATTTATACGACTGTTTAAATAAATTTTCTTTTATATGACACAATAAAATTATTAAATCTTTTGCCTTGTAAATATTTGATTTTAATTTATATTACCTTTTATAAGGCTGAGGATGGTAAACAAGCGAACAATCAACCTGATAGCGGCTACTGTAAGGTACCAACTACCGACCCTAAAAAAAATAACATAATTTCAATTCTAAATTTAAGTGAAAAAAGCGCCCAAAGGTAATGTTATTTGTATCTTTTGTTTCAGGAACAGCAAAAAGGTGATTACCTTGTGCGATAGGGTGAATCTGTTCATCATTGTAAAACCCAGTCAGTCAGACCATCATGGTAGCCATTGTCAAGTGCAGTCGATGTTTCCACTGAAATCACTAGCAAAAAAAATTACCCACCAATATTACCCAATCAGCCTTTTACAAATAGCACTTTGGAATTCATTGGAACCATTGTTATGCTGTTTGGAAAAGTCATGTGTATCTCAACAATTCGATGGCCATTTGATACCATAATCCTGTGGGTTGAAATGTTGTCAAGTCTGCTAAATAGGTGTACCCTCATAGATCGATCATCGATGCATTTCTCCATTTATCATAGATAGTCGATGTTGTAATTAATACGGAGCGCTTTGTTTGGATGTATCAAAATAAAGATGCTCATAGGTTTTGTTCGTTGTCTAAATATAGTCATTGATTAATATTAATAGATGATGTTGTTATCGTAACCTTTTTATAAGGAATTAAGGCCTTAGGCCCAATTAGTGTTGATCTAATAAACTGTTTATGTTATATCTATATAATTATATTAATTGTAAACATTTTGAAGTTTACAGATCATTATTGATGTTTAGGTAAACATTTATGTTTTCTAGGATACTGTAATTTCTATTTGATACTGTAGATAACTTATCGTCTGCCATATTACTAGATACTAAGTTTAGTGAATGATATAAATTAGGTGAAATCCTTTAGTAGGTTCGATAACTAATTATAAAATACTATAATTACATCTAAATTAGACTGAGCACTTTCACAATTCATACATGAACATACTAACAAAACAAATAGAAATAATATATATATTTAACATAACACCAATACATTTTCTTAACTTACCAATTACCAACATAGAAAGTATTGCATGTACCTACTTACAAACGATCAAACAATATACAGCATGACAATTTTATTAAGAGTATATATATATATAGATAGCCATGAGATAATCGGTAAGTATTGTATGATTATAAGCATAGCACAGGCACGGTTTGTTGCATGCTTTTCAAATTGTACAGCGCACTATTTTACGTGCATGTTATTTCGTATTTATAAAAAGTTAATTTTGTAAATATGGGACAGCAAAATTACTTAATCACATCAAATATGAATATTAAAATTTTAGAGATGTATACAGATTTCTAATCAGACACCCTTGTAGGTATCCGAACTGCAAGGTTCGCAACATGCCTCAATGGAATCCTTGGACGAGGGTCGGTTACAACCTCACGTATACCAGAACGGTCACCACGGAAGATCGTCTAGTTTAAGGTATTGAAAATTCCACTACATAATATTCTAGCACATTTTTTGTATTTTAGTTTGTGTTATTTTCTTTTTATTTTATTTTGTAGTGCCGTCGACGAAGCGATTGATCTCAAAGTAATCGTAGTGAGAAATGGTATGTCCACCACGCACGCGATTATTTTAATGACCCCACTAACTGTGTTCGACTTAGGATTAACCTACCCTTTACTTATTCCACAACCTCTGTTGCATGAATCGAATGCATGGTTAAGACTGACCACCGGCGTTATGGTAAAAGGATATATTTTTAATTTCCAGACGGACACCGAGCCCAAGGAGACGGCATTACGGAGGCTACCATCATGACATCGGCTTCTCGGACACTGTCAGTAACGTCGTTGAAATAGTCAAACACGAACATCACAGACACGGGCGAACGCATCGTGCGCCCCACCACTACCACCCACATGGTAGGTGCACCTCTAATATTTAGCTAAGTCGCTACAACATATTTCACTCTTGTGAGAGCGAATTAAAAGTGACCATGTGAATCTGCTAGTACTCTATCCATCTCTAAGTCATGTAGCTATTTATATTCATCTATAAGTATCATATTTTAGATCAACGTATTAGCAGATTCACTGTTTCGCTAGCTTTATGCTGTTGCTAAGTTATAAATCCTATAAGCCTAAATATATCCAACTTCATAATTATAAATAACGTTTAGTCATCATAATAAGCTACTAATTGCCTCTAATTTATTATTACCTATTATATAATTATTATTTCATTCCTGTAGTATTTATTCATATTAAAATTTATACCGTAAACATACCTATTTTATTTAGCTTCAATCAATAAAATCGAAACAGTTTTGCAAACATTTTTCTTCTCATGAAGGTACTCTGAAAGTTTTGTGAGAAGATGGGAAGTCTAGCTTACTAGTAGTTGTAGATATTCATGTTTTCGTAGTTGTGGTAGTTATAAGATACTTGAGAGCAATGCAATTATGCTATAAATAAGATCATGGAATTAGACATAGATTGTAAATCCTAGCTATATGAAACATTTTCACAAAGCTAGTTTTGTAATCGATAGCTATGATTTGAAATTTGCTCATTCATATAATCATATAAATTGTTAGTAATACCATTAATACTTTATAGCATCAGGCCACACTATTTTACATCTTAGCTGTAAGTGCATTATAAACTGGCATTGAAATTCGATAATATAAGCCAAATTCAAATGTGAATCAATTCAAAATTGGCCTTTATGTGAATATTCTATTGAAATCTTTGATAAAACTGATATTAATTTGCCTGCTGCATGCTAAAGTTTTGGTGCCCAGTTAAAACAACAATTCTGTTCTTATTTGCACATACTAAATGCTTCATTCATGGGCTCCTCAAGAAACGGAGGTGTCTGAACGCATGCACTTCAGCGAAATCATTTAAATCATGCAGCATGCAAAAGCTTGATGATTTTATATTTTACTTTTTGTATTTCTGCAGTAGACGGCGATAGTAACATGATCGACACTTCTGTCTTATATTGTAATAAAACTATTTGCGTTACATAATGTATTCAAGTCATTCTTGAGTATCGTATTATAATGTAGTCACTGGACACAATCATTCCCGAGCCGAGAGAGGTATCCATTCCTTGTCGATCCAATCCGTGTCCATTATAACCTATACATTTGAACAGACACCCAAAACTTTTAGAGTCACCTTTGTGAGTAAGGAAAAAGGGTCGGTAGTCCGACGGGCTTAGGGTAAAGCGTGGTGGAAGGTACATGAAGGTATTCCTGACAGCAGGGAAGGAGTGGAGGACGCCGCACCCTACGACCAGCCTGAGCCAGCCCTCGCGATCGCCCAGCCCGCCACACCACACCTACGGTGAGATCCACTCGCCACACACTGCGCTCGCATGCACACAACACCACATATTGCCGAGCGCTCTATGTAACCAGAGATCTGAAACTAAGTATAAGAAAGAGTACGCACTGATTCATGAACTCCCAAATGTTCAGTTCCTACTCTTCTTAACACGAGCATCTATCAAGCATTCACTATCAATACATTACGTTGCAAACATGTTTAGGAATAAGTATCTAAATAATGTAGTAATGTGCCAAATGGCTGATTAATTAAAAACAATATCTCTGAAAGCAGATTAATTAAATTGACAGGTTAATATTTATTGTAAAGCAAAGGGTCTGATGAAAAACAAAAATTGCCAACCACATTATTTTATATAAACCATGAACGCAAAAATATAAAAGGCCCTTTGCTGGTACCACCAAGTCATGTTAAAAGCATAACTATGACGCAATTCCGGTGAACGCTTTGCACGTATGTGGACGATTGTAAGCGAAGCGCGTAGACGACGAACGCGACGGCATATTTATCTATAAGAAAATTGTTTGCACATCTGTTTATTGTAAATCCTGTATCTATATTTTCATTGACCCTCGATTATTTTCTTTAATTTCGTCATTCGATATTCCTGATTAAATGTGATCATTGTAGCACGTTTGCGAAGGGAATGGGTCGTTGTGTAGAGCGTCTAGATTATTCAAAGGGCAGTTTGGGCACCGATAGGTGGCGAGCGAGAGCGGGACCGAGACCGGGACCGAGAACGGGACCGCGAGTGGCGGGAGTGGCGAGACCGGTCGTGGGAGCGCGAGGGCGGTAGACGCGGCCGCGGCCGCCAACTGCCGCCTACACCTACCAAGCCGTCCACGCTGCAAGTGAAACAGCAACCGCCGTTCACCAGAATCAGCCACAGCCCCTCGCACGTAAGTATATTTTTTATTAATTCATATTTTATAGATAAATATTTCAATTTTTGTTTTCATAGATCATTGATAATTTATTGATCTTTTGTTTTTGTATTTCAATATTCATGTAACTAACTACTCGTATTCTCGTATTCATTGTAAAAACAGCAACTGCAATTGTAAAAAGATATTATGGGATTAATACGAAAGTAAGCCATATCAGTAGCAATAGCATAAAAATATCTAAATCAGTTCAAAATCAACGAAATTATTGCATAAAACGATATCTTCTTTTTGAAGTCAATTGAAGGGAAATAACAGCAGACAAACGTACATTTAAGGACTAAAAATACGAGCAGATAAGAGCCTCAAATAAAAACTTAAAATTCCCCCCAATTATAGACATTTATACTACATCTACGGATGATGAAATTAAAAATTATTAAGGTGCCTTGGTACAGCGAACACAATAGCGGACTTTCATTTGCTGCTATTAAAAGAACTTGATAGAATGCGCGTTACGCTTTTAAAAATTCTGTTTACCATTTAATAATTTTAGACTGATATAAATTATATTACTATTCTTTTGAATTGTATCTATTGTAATTAATTTGTCTATAATTTTATATATAATACAAGTATATTAAAAAAAAATGGTATGTTACAGCTATCGTTGAGGCATACGGTGCGAGAACCCGTAGAGCCACTACACGACGAGTACGAGTATGGCCGAGAAGTTGAAAGACTGATACACCGAGATTATAGATCTAGAGAAAGGTATGACTTGCAATGCTTTATATACGATTCACACTTAAACATAATCTTGATTACTATTGCAACAACGAGGATATAATAGGCCTAAAATTCGCTATGCCTGAAATCTAATACAGATAACGAATCAAGACTAACATTAAAAAAACTCATTGTCTTATGAATGACGAATACAATTACTACTATTACCCGTGTGAGGATGTCGCGGTTTAGTGTCATGGAGGCCTCTGACATGTCTTAACGGACGATGGTTTTACATGCCTTTCAGAGCAAATTGACGGCCATTTTTAAATGACCCAAATATGCATTTTAAAATTTTAAGGTTTAGGCTGGGATTTCATCTTGTTCTCTCTGTGTACCAGTTAAATACCTGGTATGGGGATAGGTAACATTGCTTTTACAAGCCTGATTGTCTATTTGTAGAAGATTTGTATTCATGAGTTCTTTTTTTTTCGTTTGTTTAGATATAATGTGTAGGATTTGACAGTGAAATTACAGGGTACGGAGGTATAATAATACCTTCTTCCTCAAAAATAAATAGTCGACTCTTAATTGAAGAGTTTATTCCTGATCGGCATCACAGTGTATTTTGTAATGTCCATGGGTATACGTGGATCCATGATTATAGACGACGGTTACCACTTTCCATGAGGTTGACCGTCTACCCATTTGTCATTCCGTGTTGAATAACCGTGAACGTGTACCGTGCAGACGCGGCAGAGGCTACGAGTCGGAGCGCGGCGGCGCAGGCGGCGCGGGCGGCGTGGGCGGCGCGGGCGGCGCGGGCGGGCCGCGCGGGTACGAGGCGAGCGCGGGCGGCGGCGCGGCGGCGCCGCTGAGCTACGAGGCGGCGCTGGCGCTGGGCCGCGGCGGGGGCGCGCGCGCGCTGCCGTCGCCGGCGCCGGCGCCGCGGCTGCCCAACGGGTACAAGCCGCGCGCGCGCCACTCGGACTCGGACGAGGACGACTGGTGCTAGCGGCGCCGGCGCGCGCGCTCGCAGCGGGACGTGCGCGCGCCGGCGCCGCCCGCGCGCCCCCGCCCGCCCCCGCACACCTTCTGACGCGTCCGCGCGCCCCGGACGATCTCGTTTTATACTCGAGCGTGTGTACATAGACGACTCTCGTTGCTCACCAGTTTGGACGTCCCTCGCGAGCGCCGCCGCCCGCCCGCGGGGCCTCCGCGAGCTATATCCAAATTCTAGTATTTACAAACTTTTGGAAAATTTAATTTTTAATTCGCTAAAATTTTACTCCTTGATTTATATTACGGTTAAGGTAATCGAAGTATGAAACGGTGCCAGACGACTCGTTTGCGCTAGGATTTTTACATAAAATGAAATTATTAGTCTGTATCGTAAAAGTAAACTTTCTATATTAAATTTGCACTACATAAAAGTCTACGTTATATCGCCTGCCGGGACGGCGAGGGCGCGGCCCGGCCGGTTCACTCGGGCCCCCCTCGATGCCGTTTCATATTCAAGTTAGACGTTGGGAGAACACTAGCAATTCATCGTCAAACAAATTAATACTAGTATTGTATAAAATATTTACATAGGAAATAATTTTTACTTAGTTAATAATACTAAATAAATAATTAAACATTTTTTATTGAATTTGCTGTCCTTCCCCCAAGTGCTTTATACCTACGTTATTTAAATACGATTAAACTAAAAACTATGAATTGTATGTAAACTTCGAAAATATATTTCAGCATTAAATGATTACCTTAAAATTGTTAAATCGTGTGCCGATATTGTTTAATAACGTTTTGTCGCCTGGTTTTCATTATTGTGTATCCTAATGTTTAAATAATAAGATCACAGTCATTCTTACTCGTTTAAGGTAATGTTTAAATAAAAATACTCCATTCCAATTGAGAGTATCTAAATTGTTCGTACGCGAGGAGTTTTTTTAAAAATATACCTCAAAATGTAACTTTTAGAACGTAGTGAAAAACATTGAAGCCAAAATTTCGATATTTAATAAAGTACATAATAATAATTAAATTAACGAAGCAAAATAGATACTCTCTAATAAAAACACAGTAAATTGCAATATACTCTAAACTGGCATATTGATTTTTTCATTCAATTTAAAATGTGACTTCTAAAAGTGTATGGTTTTAAGGATTATGTATGTTTGTCAGTTTTTTTTCTTTTGTATTGTCCAAACAAATGACTATAACGGGGGCGAAAAAAATTTTAACTAAATAAAAGGAAAAACAAACTACTATAAAAAACCATATGGCTTGTCGTACGAATTATAAAAGTACATTAATAATGCTAATTTGACTTTAGAGGTCAACTTTACGCGGAATGGTGTAAAAGAATTGCAGATCTACATGAAGTGGACAAGTAAAATTCAGTTGTAATTGTGTATTTCGATAATTCCGATGCAATTGTTACTGTTTTTCATTATTACATAATTAATTACATTAAAGCAATCTCCACAAGTAGGGATATTGGATAGACGTATCCTCTTTTAATTAGGAAAAAAAATGTAAATAGTTCACTAAATAATAATTTAGAATTAGTAAGTTTTTGCCAATATCTTTAAATGTGTATTATTTACTCTGGGAGTGGGAGAACTATAAGTTGGGATATACAGTGGCAATCACACTATATCATTTCGTGGTAATTGTTATATTATTAAGAAAATCTAATATTACGTAATTAGGCATAGTGGAGGTGTTATCTTTTTTTTTCTTACTTCTCATGACATATTGATTTTGGTCGTCATATTTTTTTTAAATATTATGTGTATTTTTTTGTATGTGGACTATATTTCGAATTACTTGAACAAATAATTAAGGGAAGAACCCGGTAATTATGTATAATAAGTAGCTGTATTTTTTTTTCTTTGCTTGAATTTTTAATATCAATATAAAAATATATAATCTATTACCTATCTTTGTGTAAGCAAAGATATTAAGGTTAAAATAAAATATACCGCTAAAATCCATATACAGAATGCTTTCTTGCTCGTGGCGTTTGTGATTATTATAATATTATAAAAGCTTTGACATATTAATTGTAAAAGACATTTATAATTAATTAATTATTATTTATTTTCTACACAAAACAACAAAAAAACTTTTACAAGTAAAAATTGATATGCCAGTAAAAGAGGGGCATAAATTAGCTTTAATTTTTACTAATACCTACCTACCAGGCACAAAATCTGTTACTATACGTGTACACTCAGCAACAGAATTGTATTGTGTGTTTGTCGGCAACGCAACAACCTCACAAAAGCAATATTATTGTGTCCATCATTACTTCCAAAGTAAATATTTAAATTGTACTAAAACTATATTTATTAGATAATATAAAAACGGTATTATTGATATTTAGAATAGTAGCAAACCAATTCTGCTGAGGACTGTACGTTGAGAAAACGATTATTTCACTCCGGTATGTTATAAATTAATGTCACGCCACTGTCATTGTTAGTCACATGTTAGTTGTACCTGAACTCGAATGTTGTATTGACAAAATATTGCACTTAAAATTTTATTCATTTTTTTTAACTTATAAAGCTAAATTTTTATTACCAAAATTTACAGACGCATCATTTTATCATTATGGAAAATAGAAATTTCATGTTTAGAATAAAAAGTATGTCTTATTAAAATCTTAAATTATTAAATCCAATTGCTGCAATTTTATATTATAATGTATAAAAACAATTGCCAAAATCAGTATAGTAATAGCCAATTGTTACATGATGCATTTATGTTATAAATTTAAATAAAAATATTTAGACACCGAAACAGTCTGGAAACCATTACTTACTGACTAAAATGGCTTTATTTCTTTACATTTATTAGCCACTGATAAGATTTAGTTCATTAATATGTATCGATTGGTCACAAATTATGAAAAAGAAAATTCAACTCTAAAACGTTCTAAAGTTCGGTTACATTTTCTATAACCAATTTTGATGCAACATTCGGCGTTCTGGGTGAAATCGTTCCACACCATCAGATACATTCGTCGCAAGGCATGATGTAGGTTACGTACGACACATAGTACGACAAAATTGTAAATACATAATTTTCTGTGATAACATGAGAAAAAATGAGTATATTATTATTAGAACTGTGTGATTGCATGGGGAAGCTGTTCATTTCTGTAAGACGCCGTGCATTTAGGATAAAACTGTCCGAGGCTTCGTGTGTAGATAGGTAATCACACCGTTGTTGCATAAAAACTATTTGTGATTAACAAAAATAAAAAAAATCTCGAGACATATTAAATGTTATAAAGAATTCGCACAAAAGAAAATATAATGTCGTACTAAATGAAGTTATTTCACTATTTCAATAATGATTTAGCGGGTCGGTCACTAGTCTGTGAAGTTTTTCCTAGGCACGCGGCCGTCGAGATACCTAAGTAGATCCCTTTAGTCAGATATTATTCCTCATAATACTTTGATCGTTGTTGTTCGTTGCGAGGGGCGGGAGCTGGTTGTATAGCTTTTATATTTTACCTCTGTTATAGTTATTAGTACAAATTATTCTACGCTGAGTGCGGCTCTGTGGTCTACGTGCAGTTTGACCGCGCGCAATCGCATATTACGTTAAACGTCATTCTGTTTACAGTAAACGTGAGATCATTTTTCAAAAAAATTGATATTATTAATGTTATAATTACATACAATGCTAATCTAGTCGTAATAAAAAAAAACATTGAAACATTGTTTTTTTAAATGAAAAAAAAAGTGTTCGCGAAGGAGTGTCCCACAAATGTAACTTGTTGCCCTCGTTCTGAGAGTGTTAGATTTCTTCTATTGTAGGTTTATTATTTATCAATATTGACTCATGAAAAATATTTATATTGTTATCGTATAGACGTATCGATATTTTCGTTCTGTCATTTGTAATTGGGGTGTTAGCATGGTACAAGTAAGCCGATGGACTTTCGATGACTGAGTGGTATATAGTTCAGAGTGCGTCCCGCTTTAGTGTTTGTGACTCCCTCGTAAACATTACGATGTTTCACTAACATACGTGTTTAAGACGTGTAAATATTGTAAAAAATTACGCGGTCGTTATGTAGAGGTCGCCTGTGAAAATGTCTAGTGATATGTTACTAGTTAATCTTAATGTTAGCTAGGTAATCTCGTCCCCAACTGTCCTTGAATTTAAGTTGGGTGTTTCACTGCCTTAAAGTAATAATGAGAATATTCGATGTAACAGTTAACTAATACAGATAAGTGGCGTTTCAATTGTTCTTATAAGTTGTTTATCATTCGGTAATCACTGGTCGCATCACTTGTTCCGACTACGCAAGTCGCTACGGATTATTTTGTCATATCATAATAATTATTTAGAACTAAAATCAACAAAAGTTACATACACTAACGACAGCAGCAATATGCATTGAAATTGTTAAATAATTATTAATACATAATATAATCGATGACTCTCTTATCTCATTTCCTTATTTGAAAGATAAGAGATAAGACGTACCTAGTTCGCCGCTTCGGCGTATTTAAAAAAAACGACAATTACGTTCCGTTATACGAGTTTCAAATCTAAATACAGAAGTGAGATAAGAAAGTCTGAGCCCAATATTGTCATGCCTGCCTTGTATCTGTGTAATCGCTTCACGACGATCATATTTTATATTAAAAGTTATTATTATTGTATATTTAGCATAGAAAGTTCATCGGCGTCGAGAGAGCACCATAGTATGTTTTTTGGTACGTTCCAATAACTTTACAGGATAGTGCAATCCTATTGATATTGTATTAATAAAGAACCAAACTTAAAATTAGTATTTAAGTAATTTATTATCCTAAAACTAAAAACTATACGCATGTTTTCACTATACTGGTAAAATGGTTATGTACAATACGAAAGAGCTACTGTTTTATATATGAATTCTTGCTCGCCTGTAAAATTTTGCAGAATGAATCATATTATAAGATTGTACAATATGAATAAATGCAAAAAAGACATTTCCTCGACAACGTGTGTTCATTTATGGTTTATTTTTTAGACTAAACACTAGACTCAAGTCTGATGACCTACCTGATATTCAGTACATACTTTTATTCAAATAGATTACATGACAAACAACAGATTCGAAAATCATTTTCTTATTCGGACTCATATCCGGTTTTTTTTTTTTTGTTGGATGAAAATAGATTGGTAACTCCGCTCGCGCCAACGGGATACGCCGGCGGAGCACCAGTGAAGGGTGATAGATGAGAATGAAAACAGGCCAGTCAGCCCATCATGATGAATTCATCAGGAATTAATCATGATAGTTCCCAGGGGGAACCGCGTGGAGGTCGACCTGGTTAGGTATATTGCTAGCAATGGGATTTTCAATCTCCATTACTAACAATCCCTTTCCCCCCACTCATATCCGGTTGACAAATTTATTCAATTTATTCAATACATATTTTTTAATTATTATATCAGCCGTTAGCTGTCCACTGCTGGGCATTGAAAAGGGGCTTTTGTCAGGAGTGATCACGTTTGGCGGGGAGAAGGGGGGCTGACAACTGCAGTTAGGCTTTGGTGATGTTTTCAAAGAAATGCTGGTGCCCATTCCTCGACCACAAAATTCCCTTAATCGCTTCTTATGACACTCACGGAACAAGGGGTGGTCCATTCTAAGCCGAGACCATACGGATATACCACTGAATATATAACAATAAACAAAATACGAATTCTCTAATTTAGACAGAAAATGGTAATTACGATATATTATTACTTTTTTTACTTCCAGCATGATCTAAAAATAATTCAAGGGAGAAAACTCGAAATAAAACCCTACATTTACTTATTATTTTTATAACTGATGTAATAACGTGCAAAATAAATATTCCACGCCGCCTGGCCACCGTAGTATTAACAGAATTAACATCTTCCTCTTAAATAAAAACTCATGTCCAGTAATGAAAGTATAATATCATATTAACGAAACAATATTAAAGATAAATACAATAATTTATTAGGACGTGAGAAATGTAATGTATTTACAATAACAAACATGTATGTAAACAAAAATATACACTAGAATTTTTAACCTCACAATCATGGAGCGGATCAGTTGTCCGACGAGTCCGGGACGTCAGTGTCGAACGAACTGATATCCGCTTCCACATCGCTGGCTGCTAGCAACGACACCACCGGATTCCTGCCTTCGTCTAAATTTACAGGATCGCTTGCGCGACCTAGGAAAAGTTTAACCAACATTTTATGAATGAGATATTTACCTTGTAGTGTAATGTACAACCGTAGTGGTAAATTAAAAATCTAGTAGCTCGGTTATAAATAATACTAATATAATAAACATTTTGACCAGACAAAGAAGAAATTTAATAAAAATTGAGGATAATAAAAGCAAAATAATTCAAAACAATAATTTTTACATATCCTGTCTTATGTTTATTATAACATCACATAAAAACTACTGCATTAAATTGGATGCGATTTTAACAGTTGTAGTACTAAAGATCTAATTTAAAATCCGATGTATGTTTTATATTTATATTTATGTTTTACATTTAAAAATGGTTTATTACATTTGTTTTCCTACTTTCGAAATCCAAGCATACAAATAAGTGAGCATAAAGTTATTATATATAATGAATCTTATTGAACATACACAGAATACCGTCTAGTTCCAAACTAAACAGAAATTACATTATATTTTAAATACTATGCAACTACGAGTAATACCTAGTGACTCTAATGACTTACTAGATAAGTACTTTTACAACTAGAACTTTAACAACTAGACTTCTGCATATGGCTAGCGGTGTAGCCATGTTTCGATTCCGTAAGTCATCAGTGGCAATACGCACTAGTTTTTTTTAATGGATGATAAAAGAATGATTACACCGCCTGTGCTATCGATATACACTGGCGAGGTACCAGTGAGGGATTACAGGTGAGAATGAAAAGGCAAGTCAGTAAGCCCCTCGTGATGAATATACCTTGGATTCAGCATGACGGTTTCCAGAAGAGGCGACGTGGAGGTCGGCTAACAGGGTATTTTGCTAGCAATGGGACTAGTACTCTGCATTACTAAGAATCCCTCCCCCCATTCCATACGCACTGATTAAGATCATCAAACTTTACAAGTTTTCTAAATATGAAGATTTTACTGTATGCTTACCTTCAATTATCACAAAAGAGACATCGGGCATTTCTTCTGCTGGAATCTGAACAATAGGCACCAATGAATTTTCCGTTGTACCTCGTAATAATTCCAACTGTGCAGTGAAAGCTGACGGATCTATTAGAATCACCTGTAAACAATATATTCGAACTTTTACATAATTGTAAAAAAATTATCATAAAGAAAAATAATATTACTGTTAGGAGAGAATGTGCAATTTCAATGGGCACTTATATTATGGCGGGACATCAGTGAGTGGTAATAGGTGCAGATGGAAGCAGTACAGTTGGTCCATCGCGACGATCTTTTTATATTTTTTTTTATACTGAGGTGGCAAACAAGCATACGGCCCACCTGATGGTAAGTGGTTACCGTAGTCTATGAACACCTGCAATACCAGAGGTAATACGCGTGCGTTGCCGACCCTGAAGAAACCTCTTTACCCCCCTTTTGAAGAACCCCATACTGTAGACTCTTGGGAAAACCTCGGCAGGGAACTCAATTCAACAAGAATTAATTACAATAGCTTTCAGAGAGATTCGCGTAGAGATTGTATTTGCTAGTAATAGGGCTTATAGATCCCCTAACAATCTCTTTCTCCGAACAACTGACAGATATAAAGTGATCAAAATAGCAGTAAAAGTTGAATCACCTCACTCTGCACTCCGGACGAGGTGTCAGTGGAACTGTGAGAAGTGCCCTGTTCAGAACTATCCTGCGAGAGGTCGCTGTGCATACCGTGCCCATCCCCCGCACCTGCTCCCACACCAGGCAGCGCGTTGCCGTTCGTATCGAACATTGGCTCGGGTAGAGCCAATGGCTGTTCTAGGGGAGGCTGTATTGGTTCCTCGTCGTCTACCTACAAGTATATGTTATAGTACTATAGTATAATCGTATATTGATAGATAATAAATTCAATAAAAAAATCAATTAATAATAATATTTTTGTTTATGGTACCTATTATACGATATGAACCCTAGTGTTGCAGGCGCCTATAGGCTACAGTTACCGTTTACCATCAGACGGCCAGTATGCTCGCTTGCCACCTTGGTGGTATTAAACAAAAGGCGATTCCATCCCTAAATAATATTTTTACAGACTACGAGTTATCGCAGTGCATGCCAAGTCCGGTTCACGCCCACAACCGTGGAAGTGCGTTTCTCCAGTCAGAGGCAAACAACTGCTCGGTGAGTGTCAATGATTATTTTAAATTTGTTTTAGTTCCTTTACGTCTACCTACAAGCGCAATATAAATAATAGCAGCTAGTACTACTCTATTTAGTATGATTACATCCCAGAATACGCTAACGCTTATTGTATCACTTTGGTGCCAAGTATCCGAAATATAGTAATGGAAAATGTTATTTTCCATCGGTGTAGACTGGGGCTGAATCAATCTGCTAACAACTACATAATGCATTTAAAACTTAAACTAAACAAATAAGAATTATAATTCTTTTTTTTTTTATTAAATATATAATTTTTGTCAATCAATCATCATCAAATTTGATGTTGTAGAATATGTTATGTATTAGTTATGTATTTTATTTTTTTATTTTTTTTTCAAATGTATTTTAATTGTCGAGTACCTAAATGATAAAACTGTACAAGAACCTGACTGTAAATGGCAATAAATATGAACTAACTTAATTAGCCACTCACTAACTACTACGATACAGGCCTGCGAGCCTAGTGTAGTAATCACTGTATAATAATAAATTGTGTACCCGATTTTTAGCTACAATAAAGTTATTATTATTATTATTATTATGTAGTACGCTATATTTTGCCATCATAGGGCGTACAAACATTATTATTAAATAATGTCTCTTAAATTATATTTTTTAACAACAAGTACAATAATAAATAATTGGGGGGGAAAGGGATTGTTAGTAATGGGGACTGAGAATCCCATTGCTAACAATATACCCAGCCAGGTCGACCTCCTCGCGGTTCCCCTGAAAACTAGCATGATTAATTCCAGATGAATTCGTCATGATGAGCTAACCGGCCTGTTTTCATTCTCATCGATCACCCTTCACTGGTGCGCCCCATCAGCGTATCCCGTTAGCGCGGGCGGGGTTACCATTCCATTTTCATCCAATAATAAAAAATAAATAATAAATAAATTATTTACACGAATAGATTATATTCTTACTTAGCATATAGGATACTTAGAATAGAATAGAAAACATTTATTGCCAGTAAACACACAATCACAATAGAAAATCTAGAAAATACATATAAGTGTCCCGATAAACACTACCCCCTTTCGTTATAGACATGTAAGTTATATTAAACTTCAAATCATTCATCTCCAAATAAATAAAGTGAACCATACCGATTCTTGACTAATATGGAAGAGCCAATACGGAAGGATAGTTTCATCGTCGATTATACAGGATTCGTAACTGGCAGACGATCTGCCAGATATGAATACTTCCTCTGACGCCTGTAATAGATTATGACCGATATCATTCTCTAACATTCAAATATTTTACTAAAGAAAAAAAGACGATGTATTTATCAAATATATAATAAATCTATACTAATATTATAAAGAGGCAAAGATTGTGACTTGGGATGTTCAGGTAAATCCAGTATTACTGAACCGATTTTAAAAATTCTTTCACTGTTAGAAAAGTTTAGATATTATCTCTGAGTGCTCTAAACTACTTTTTATTTTAATAAATATAAATTTTAAAATACCTAATTAATCACAATAAATTTCATTGAAGTCAACAAAAATTCTACAATATGGCGTGTATGGTCTGGACGGTTTAAGCTAAAGGAATAAAGTCTATAGTAAACTATTCATTACTTTTAGTTTTACAAAATACCCGCAGCACCATATATCTAAATTTAATATCTCAGCCAAAAAAAAAATGTTTTTATATTAAAAGTAAAATAAATTTTACAAGCCGCACATTTTAAAATTTGAGAGAATATTATTAGTGCAGTACTTTCACACACGCCAAAATACCGGCCTTACTAAAATGTATTAAACAGTTTAAAATTTGCACAAAAAAATATTGCACCCGTGTGAAACCGAAGCGGACCACTAGTTAAATATAAAAAGATACTCACAACTTGTCTCGCTACTTCCAAAGCAATACTTCCCGTTTCTGAATCAATAAAATTGACACGATCTGGCCGGTCACCAGCTACCGGTTCGGCGTTTACAGAAAATCCACTAAATGCTTGAAGAATCAGAGCTCCAGCTGGATTCTGGGAAAATACATTTTGTTTTAATCTAGCCACACATTACTTTAAACTCATTAATACTACATCGAAAAAAACATTTGCTACCTGGGTTACAAGCTGATTTTTTCTCTCAAATATATTTTGAACAGAACTTTCATTTTGATTTCGAGTATTATCGAATTCATCGGCAGCCAAAAAATATTCGGAGTTTTTTGACGCAGATGTAATAGATTTGAAAGAAAGAAAATCTAAATCTGTTAATTCCATATCAGATGCAGCTATTATTGAAGCTTCATCCAATATCGAATCAAAAGTCTGATACGTAACATTATTTAAATCACTCTGTATAGAAATATTTAGATCTTCGTTAGTAATAACAGTTTTAAAACTCGCTGGAGAGGAACTTTCAACCAAACTCGTATTATAAATATCTTCGCCTCTTAAAATTATTGCTTCGGAATCCATAGGATCATTGCACGCACTTACGTATCTGTTTTCAAAATTAAGGCTTTCTTCGATTATTCTTCTCATATCGGAGAAAATACTATTATATCTCGTTACGACTTGGCTAGGGCAATCAACCTCGTAATTTGTCCTAAAAGTTTTAACAGAAGGGCTAATGAATTTTGTATCAGAACTATCTACTGAATTTGATGTTGTCATTACATTATCAGCAATTATTTCTTCTTCTTTATTATTAGTCAATTCAGATTTTAAAGATTTTTCGGAAACAAAAGGACTTATTAATTTATTTCCAGTTCCCTCAGACTTCCTCATAGTAACATTTGGTTTTTTTGGACTTTGAGCTTTATGTTTTGATAAACTATTAACTATATTTTGTAAAGATAACTTCTCAGTCATTAGCTGCGCTCTATACACGCTTTTGTTCGTATTTTCTTTATTTATTTTTTTATAGTCAATAGAAGACTCCGGGATGTTTTCCTTATTATCAAGATCTTTATGTTCTATTTTTTTAACAGCTTTATACTTTTTCTTATACTTCTTATTTTTGAGGATGTTCATGTCCGATTCACTATTACTTAAATTGATTTTATTAGATGACACAGAATATCTTCTACTAGAAAATATATTAGGTCGGGTTGAAGCAACTCTAACAGTTGCTATGCTGCTAGGAGATGAACAAGTCGAACTATTTTGCGATTTTGGACTGTGATTTATTTTGTTTCCAGAATCTTTCATTTTGATATTTTTATTTGTAGTAGATGGAGACTCACAATCAGCATTTTTGGTATCTATTTCATTGCGAAATACAATATAATTAATGTCGTTTCTTGGCATGTCAGTAAATTTTAGCAAATCTTTGTTAATATCTTCAGTTTTTGACCGAACTAATGGTGTAACTTGTCCTACAGGTTTTTCTTTATAGTTTTTTAACACTTTATTAACAATATCTATACTTTGTTTTAAGCGGTTTGTTTCAGTAACAAGTTTATTTTGAGTAATGAAATTTCTTTTTAAATACTTTGGAATATAGATTTTCTTTTTTGTTACGTTTTCAGATTCCTTCTTGGCGCTAATTGGCGTATGTATTTTATACATAAAAGCTGATTTAACATTCTTAGAAGGACAACTAAAATAGTACGTTTCATTTATTATAATACATTTAAATTTATAATAATTATTTTAAAATATAGCAAAAAAAAACAACTTACTTGAAGGTTAGTTTCGATGGAATCTGAAAAATGCAATAAGTGTTAAAGATAGTTCTTTAAATTAATTAAAAACAAAAACCGTTTAGACATACCTTAATAACATTTTTATTATATTTCATTGTGTTATTAGACACAGGCAATTTTAATTTCCCGAGCTCTTTTTTTGGTTTCTTGCGATCTATCATACTTTTAATCACATTATCATGTATTTTTTCTTTAGAATCAGTCTTAATTTTCTTAAAAGAATTTAACGTTCCACTGACTTTTTTACCAGTGATTATATTACAAATATTTCGCTTTTTAGTTAAGACTTTTGGTCGACACCTTTGCCATTTTCCTTGATAAATAACATCTTCAGATACTTGTGTATCTCTATAACTATGAACATGAACACCACTAGTACAAAGCTTTGGCTGAACGGATCCAGTACAATATTTATGATCTGCTATAACTTTATTGCTCATAGATGATTTTATATGGATTTCACTCGTACTTTTAAAACAGCTCTTTGAACTATCAAATTTTTTGTAGAACTCGGACATTGATTCTTCTTCGTCTAATCCACTCGACATACACTTAATCAACTTTGTTCCCGTACAAAGAAAATTTTTGGTAATTATGTTATTAGTCATAGTTGCACACTCAACTTTTTCGCTAATTATCAAATCCGAATTTTTAATTTTAATGCCGATTGACTTTGTCGTTGGTGAGATAGTTCTATAATGATCATCATAATCATAAATCGAAGTTCCGCAACCGAAACTGTTCTGAGTCGGTATATTAGTAGTTGAATCATCTATTTTTATTCCCGTTGTAAATATTTTTGGAATCCTTGTACATGATGTAGTTGTAGACGACATGGAGCACACAGGTGCGGTCGTATCAGGCCCACACTGTACATCCATATTTACGTGACGAACACCTTTAGATGTACTGGGTTCGTTTATATCTACAAATATTTAAAATATGTATATTTGTGTTTAATATTTTAAATAGAGAAGAAACAATAGAATCCGAAATATAGAAATCTGCAAAAGTATTAAGATTGTGGATATATCCTAAAGATTTAACAAGCTGAAGTAATTGCGGACTGACCACACAGCTGACAGAACTAAACAAGCGACGACGAGAGGATTATCAAATAATAAAAAAAAAACAAAGTTGTCTACGTTTATACGTAAGAGGCGACTTTCTACTACGAATATACTGAGTGTTACAGGCAGTTGATAAATACTGATTTTAAACAGTAATGTAGGGGGAGATTGAAATGATAATGAGTTTTTTACTAAATAAATTTTTCAATCATACTTTTAAAATTTAGATTTTTGATAGCAATAGTATATATAAATACCATTTATAAAATCACTAAAAACAATATATAAATAACTTTACCATACAAAAATATAGTTTGCGAATTACTATTTTCCGTGAAAACTTTAGGTTTATAATATGAGTTGTCATCGTTCAGAACCTTTGCCAAATTACCGAGGACGGTATCTCGCTCCAAATTAACCAAAGCTTCGTCCGCGTCAGAGCCTATAGTCCGACGTAAGGCTATTGTCTCCTCCATATTATCCATAACTATATCTATTAGTAAACTTTCTTCTGTAGCTGATATCTTAACATTTTCACAAATAATATCGTCATTAATAATAAACGGACTAATGCTTCTATCATCTACAGTCAAATACTGAATCTCACTCATATCTTTTTCTTTAGTGCTTTCCGGGTTACAAAGTTTTACTAAACTTCCTGGAATCTAAAACAAAGTGTTGTTTGCAAAGAATTGCATGGTCATATCAAACAAATAAAGTTGCCTAAATTACTCACTGGTTTTGAAATATTAGATTGTAATTTTGAATGCTCTTTTATTTTTCTTTTAGATTTGGTTTTAAAACCACTTAAGTCTGTAGAAAATACTTCATTATTGTAACTTTTGGTCAAATTTCTATAACTAGATTTGTCTTTAGGTGCTTTCTTCGTTAGCTTCATTTTATTAGTTTTGTCTCGAATTTTGTTTTTACGTTCTTTATTTTGTTTATGTTGTTTATTGCTGACAATCCCTTTGCTACATTTTCCATTCGACTCATAACTATTTTTAAAATTATATTTCTTTTGTCTTTTATGTAGTTTCTTCACTTTGAAACGAACTGTATTGGGAAAACTGTGATCTGTATCTCCACCAGAGCTTATAACAACAACAGTATCGTGATTTGGACACGGAACTATTTCAACATCATCATCAACCCAGGCTTGTGTTCTTTGCAATTTAGTTTCTTCTTTATTAAAGGTTGCAAACAATTTATTATTAACAGACCTGTTTACTACAGATGCTATATCTACTAAAGAAGGTGAATTAATCGAGTCATCAACAAAATCAAATTCTGTAAAAATATAACTAGCATTAATGTAATAATAATATAGCGTTCATATTTAAATTCTACAATTTGTAATCTTAAATAAATATTGTTGGCAAGAGACTTAGCATGAAGATAGATTTATAATTTTATAAGTAAACTATTCATAATTAGCTAAGAATTGACTACTCTATGTTATGTATATATAATAACAAACTATTAACTCTCGGTTACCTTTTAAATATTCATTATTAGTGATACTTAAGTCGTCATTTAAATAAACATAATTGTTTACATCCTGCTCTTTACGTTTCGCTTCTGAAAAAAAAACATAACTATGATTTAGAGAAAAGAAAATATACACTCATAAAGTTGTAAGTTGAAATCCTTAAATAACAATATATACCGTTAGATTCAACTAAGTGACGGTACTTGTCCATTAATGCCTTCCTGAAATATTTAAATAATATTAATATTTTTTATTATAATATTATCCATTTTTACATATACATATTTGTTTAAATTATAATCTTACGCGGAATCGTCTTGTACAAATTTCGTTAATGTGAGCATCTTCTCAGTTTTAGTTTTCTGGTAGTCTGAAAAAATAGAATACAAACCGTGTACAAACTAGTATAGTAATGTATTATCTATTTATTTACTCATATATTTTTGTACATTCACTTTTAATATAGATATTAGATTATAACAAAAATGTACATAGGTATACTGATCCCTTAAAGGGATTTCCTCCAGTCAACCTTGAAGATCCGAAAGGATAAAGTATCTATAGGATTTGTATACAAAGTATAACATATATATATATATATGGTACTCATTCTACGACCTGATCGTACGCAGGAGAAATTTCTTTGAAACTGCTTTACTATTCTATCTATTGTAATCGTAACTAGGCGATGACAAAATAATATTTTTTTACAATTGCCTTGTCTGTTAACATTGTTGCTTCAGTGTAAAAACGTACGAAACGTAAAAAAGTGTAAAAACTACTGCACTAATAATCACACATAATAATAAATATCCATTACTTATGATACTTAGTATCATACATACGGTATTTAATATAAAAAAAAATACCGTAATCAATGGCCTTTAATGGATAATTGTCAATGAAGTGCTTCTTCCTGCGTTCTATGGCCTTTTCAGTGAGTGTAAGCAGATCCAACAGCTTGCACTGCATCCATCGAGGCGGCGGTGGTGCCTGGTGACCGCGGCTCGTGCAGAGGGCTAGCTTCATGAGCCGGCATACGACGCGATCCAGCTCGCTGGCGATATCCTCGTCAGCTGACAACATTGAGCGTAGCTTGCGCACTTTATGGTCGAGAGCACGTCGCAAGCACCAACCTAATACCATATTTTACTGATTTTTTTTTTTTACAGTAATAAACTACTAAAAAAAGAAAGACACGACCTAATATTATACACCTATAGTAGAATGAAATTGAATTCATTATCATCTTTTTATGAAAGGATTCCACTCATGGAGTAATTCTCCATAGATACAATAAAAAATATTTTACTTCCCATAGTAACTCGCATGCTGTGGAGAAATAGAAGTATGAATGATAATATATAAGCCTCGAATGTCGACGTGCACCATGTACATTACTGTATTCTAATACTTATTTTTTTACTCAATCACGCTTAAACAATGAATAGAATTAAATAAATTTTGATATTCTAATCGACGTGAAATGTCGCAGGTTATAAGTGCACCTGTCTAGCATCATAATATAGATAATACAGTCTGGATACTTCATGCCACACGCTGCAATCTTAACTTAGAAACCTTACCCCCTCTCAAATACGCGTCAACGCCCAAATTCTGAGGGCCTACCATGAAATGTTTTCCGAAATTTCGGAGCCAAACGAAACGGAAATGTAATGTTAAAATTACATAATACATGCCGTTTGGCAATATTAAAAATGTTAAAATATTATTCCTTTGTACTTTTATGATAGGATGTATATACGAACGAAATGTTAAACTCCATTTATTGGTCCGATTTTGGTATAAACAAAAACACAAAATTGAGTCCGAAATTTCGGAATTTTATTTCATGGTAGACCCGCTGTTTTCTCGCGCTAATCGTAACTACAGACGCACACATTATCCGTTATTTCTTTTGATCGCATCGTTTTCGTATTAAGCGTTCGGAGTGTGCTAGCACCGTGCGAGTACAGTCGTATGCAATTACTACCTACGAGTTCAACTTTAAAAACAATTTATATATTAGTGAAATGAAAACCATGATAATCCGCAGCTACAGTACTTCCATCGGACAACGAAGTGGAGTGTACCTCAGTAGTTCCCCACTGAAAAGAAAAGTAACAATACTCTCAAATAAAATTATGAAAAATACTCCATTTGAAATCATATCAGACATTAACTGTCCATTGCTGTAAATACGGCTCTCCTTGGGGGGATTTTACCAGTAGTTGCCACACTTGGCAGGCGGGTTGGCAACCGCAGTTAGGCTTTGATTTTTTTTATACAACTTAGAATGGCAAAAAAGCTGACGGCCCACCTGATGGAAAGTGGTAACCATCGCCTATAGACATGAGCAGTATACCATGGACATAACAGAGTATACTGTTTCGCCCATGATTCCTCCCATGCGTTGCCATTCCTGAGGACTCAGGTGTTAAACCTCTGTATCCAGTAAATTCACGCCATATCCCACCCTTCAAACCGAAACACAGCCATGCAAACACAACACAAGGTTGAAACACGAATGGAACAGAAATGTTTTAAGAGGAACGCTGCTGCCCATTCCTCGAATAATACATTCCCTTAGTCACCTCTTACGACACCCACGAGCAAGGAAGGAATGACCCATTCAATGCCGGGACCACACGACAATGAAAAATAATGTGTCCAACTAATACAACTAAGTATAACAACGAACAGTATAACGGAAGTAGGAGGAAGAGATTGTTAGTAATTCGTGCTACCAGTTCCACTGCTAACAATATACCCTCTGTCAGGTCGACCTCCAAGTAGCCCCCCCCCAAAATCATCGTGTTGAATTCCAGGTGAAATCCTTTTCACTCTCACCTATCAACCCTTGCTGACGCCCCGTTAAAGTATACCGTTACCGCAGGCGGGGTTACCATTGCATTACCCCTATCAGATCAACTTCCACGTGATTCCCCCTGAAAGCAATCATGGTTGGTTCTTGTTGAATTGTTATTTACAATGGGCCAAATGGCCTGCCTTCATCCTCATCTATTATATATCACTGGTACTCCGCCAGCGTATAACGATAGCGCAGGCGGGCTTACCATTCTATTTTCGCCCATTAAAAGAACCATTCCATTATCATCCATTAAAAATATATAACAGATATATACATTTACTCTGGAAAAAACAATGACTTCAATCATAACCATTATTAATTTAGATTTGGCTTCAAGTTCAAGGTCAAAGGTCGTAACAGACAACAAGTAATATTTAGATTGTAACTGAACAGTTACATGTTAATTACAAAAATAAAAATGTATTTGTGTACATATTCTAAATGTATAGATGTATACATAAATAAAAAGATTATATAATTTTATGTATAGATAAATAAAAAGATTTTTTTCTATATTACTTTTATTATAAAAATATAACTTGATAACAATAACTTGAGACAACTATAGCTTAAACTAATACTAATAATAAGTAATAACTATAAATATAACTTACATTTTCTAATCTGAGGCTATATTATTATCAACAGTAAAAGTTTTTGGAGATATTGTAATCAGTCTTGGTTCATAGCTGTTTTATTACTTAAGTTCTAATCTTATACGCCGCAGTAATAGACATTTTTCCGTAAGCGAGTCCCCGAATTAAATTTTCGATTTAGCCAATTTAGAAATAGAGAATAAACTTTCTTATTTGAGTCATTCAAACCGATAACAAAATTATATATTCTTAAAGGATTCTACAGACTTATGACACGTCTTTTTTTAATCTACAAAACAATTCGTAAAGCATTTACGGTCGAGAGTAACTAGCAAGAAAACAACTGTTGTTCTCTTCAAAGGTAATATTCGAATTTTATATATATCTACATATAAATTAAAATTATATATTTTTAAAACTAAACATGGGCAAAAATATATTAGTCGCAGTTAACTACAGTAAACCAGGAACAATACTCGGTAGCACCCGTTCACTAGTATGACGTTTGAGTCAGTCATCATTGTTGTTGTTGATCCTAGCTTATGTCCTTAAATAGTCTTTGTTTTTTCTTACTACTGAGTTGTTCTTGGTTGAAAACAGGCTATTCGTTAACAAAAATAGGTATAAAAATTTATTTATTGCAAAGGAGCTCGACTTTATGGTTTACATATAAAACATACTGTCTGAGGAAATAACGAAATTAATTCAGTGTATTTTAAAATTTTTCATTAAGTAAACATGTACATAATATAAATAATAAAAGCATCTTTCAAGTATATACATACCAATATTTGCGAAAATTACAGTGGATGAAACACTAAATTAGGATTTTCTATTAATTTTATATTCCGTAGTAATGACACAAACCTAGTAACTATAATTAATGCAATCATACTATTCATACATTTGTACATAATGTTTGCATACACAAAATATTGATCAAGTTTATATGGAAAACCTAACTTCAACGTGGCTTTGACTAAACTTCTATAACTTTCACAGTGATGGTGCAATTATGACTTTTTTAGACTCGTTAAATAATAGCTGTGTTAATATTCTAATTTACTGGATCGCTCCTCCCCAATTTCGTTGCATGATCTGTACATACATACATTAACTTGATTTATACAAATGGTATGAATAAGTACAAGTGTTTACTGTTTTAATAGGTGTACAATAAAAACTCGAAATCTAGTATTACACAAGCAGAAGTAGTAATACTAACTAAACAGCAAAATTATAATATTTTTACATCAGAAAAGGTGTCGTTGTCTTGCCAGTCGTCATCGTGAGTGGGTACGGAACCACTGTCGACCACAATCCGTGAGTGGATCACGGTATCTCCAACCACCTCGTAGCCGTTCCACTCCAATAAGTCTCTAAAACAGAAATTTCAACATTTTAATTACTTACCCGTAAATGAGAGCCTAGACGGTCGCGGTGTTTGAAATGTTTTCCCGAACGCTCAGGTTATAAAATGAGCTCCCAGTCGTGGTTTTTTTTTAAGAGGCTACAGCATGGAGTTTTTCAAAAAACTACTAGTAGGCGCTGCTACATTTACATCGGTGAATTATACAAAGTAAATCTTATTACAATACATATAATATGAGCCATTTAATCATCCAGAATAACAAATTTAATATATATCAGTATCAAGTACAAAATAATTAATATTTAAGATTGTAATAAAAGTTCGTAAAAATCAAATATCCCTACTGAAGATTCCCCTAAAGACTACACTATATCTTTAAAAAAGGTGTATAAATTTTATTATGGGTCGGCATGCCTAGTGTTGCAGGAGGCCATAGGCTACAGCAACCAGAAGGAGACTTTGTACAAAAGTCGATTGCTTTGGTACATCTGTCCCATTCGTGTTTCTACTGTGTAGCAGTTGTGTTTGCATGGCTGTTTCGGTTTGAAAGGTGGGATATGGCGTGAATTTACAGGGTACAGAGAAATAACATCCGAGTCCTCAGGAATGGCAACGCATGGGGGGTATCATATGCGAAACAGTATACTCTGTTACGTCCATGGTACTGCTCATGCCTGTAGGCAACGGTTACCACTTTCCATCAGGTGAGCCGTCAGCTTATTTGCCATTCTAAGTTGTATAAAAAAATAAAATAAAAAAAAAAACATTATTGGACGGACAGTAATGCTTGTTACTTTTATGATATAAAAATTATTTGACACTCACTTAACTCTATCAACATCATCTGTAATATGTTCCACGACCCTCATCAGTTGATCTATTGGTATCTCGAACTTATTAACATCAAGAGAGCACTCTTCATCATATTGTATATCAATGAGTCGGTTCATCTCTTCAGATATCAAATCTAGGATACGGCATTCTTCAGATTTATTCTGAAATAAATATCTCAGTTTTCAACCAACTTCAAAAGAAGGAGGTTCTAAATTCGGTTGTCTTTTTTATGTTTGTTACCTCATATTATGTCAGTTGTAAATCGGTTTGGATTTTTTTTATCTGAAAGGAAATACTCGCAGATTGGTTGCATAGAAATTTTATCAAAATCAGTTCAGTAACTTTTATATCAAAATTATTAGTTTTGCCATAATTGAAGTGTTTTTTTTTTTTTTTTGTGGAACACACTTATTAATTATACTCAAGACTTATCATGAAAGTTTTAAAACAGCTTTAATTCTACAGCTTTAATTCTACTAATTTACAAAAAATCTATGGAAAAAGTATAATTCAAAAACATATCCTTTGACACTTATTTTGCCACTTGTCTAGAAAAACTGGACTTTGATTCGATGTATGATTGCAAAAGTTTCAACTCTATGTAAACTTTTCAAAACTAAAAGGCGCAAGTTAAGGTATACAAATATATTTTGAAAAATATTTAAAAATTCACTTTTTAAAATAAATAGTAATTACCTCAAATGGATAGTTATATTCTCTAACTACTTTATAATATTGATTCCAATATGGTGCATTGTCACCCCAGTTAATATTACACCATGTGCCATTATGCTCCTTGTTTATGGATTCCTTATCAAAGTTCAGCATCTTTGTCAAATGCTGGATCTCATCTACCACCTGTCTCGTGTGCACAATGGAATCAAACCTGTTCTTTAACATCATATTCTGTGTAGTTTTTGAGAATTTCTTTACTTGCAAGGTTGTGCAGTTTAATCTGTAATTCATACTTTGACACTTTAATAAATACATTCTAAAACTAAGAATTATGTATTAGTAAATAAATGGTACATACTCATATTAGTAAACATATTCTATAGCAATAAAAACGTCTTCTTCTTTTCCTACATACAGATGTTTAGATTTTTTACTTATTGCAAAAAAAAAACTTTTTTAAAAAACGTTTTTCTCCGACTATACCAGTAACACAATATTTTCATGTTCTTCTCTGTGTATTTAGCACAGAAAAAGATACGGATTGCACATATCCATTTTTATAATTTTTCATAGGCGCGGTTCAAGGTTGTATCACAAGGAGCATTATAAGGTTTATCAAGAACGAACACTAATCAAGCAACACCGAAAGTTAATACGCGAGTAAAGGTGATATAAATAATTACAATACAGTATGACTCATAATAGTTATTAATTAACTAAATCTATTTTATATTAACCACTAACTACAAAGACAATAGCCAAATGGACCTGCTTGTTACATCCTCAATCACATAAACCCTATTGGCCAACTTTCTTCGGGGCACCAACACATTAAAGTACATCTCATCGTCAAACATAAGGAAATTCCTGCCCACTTCGAAGTCGAGATTACACTGTAATATCTTATCGCGGTACTCGAGTGAGGCCATAGAGAAGGATGGTGATATCAAAATAGTTATGCATGATTGCTCGGAGAATACCAGCTCAGTGATGGATTCCGAACTGGAAAGTTCCAAAAAAACATTATCATTTGTTCTATTTCACCAGTGGTTTGGTTAGTAGGTCACCCAGGCTACAAATTGAGTACTAATATGATGGATGATGGAATTAAACAAAATAATTCTAATCGTCTAACCAAAAGATTCGATACTCCATGCATAAAGAAATACTTTGAATTTTTAAGTGAACAAGGATTGTTGACTTACCTATTTGGTAAACATAGCATTTTATTTTTAGTCTGAGATTCGGGACTTCCAGGATATTCCCAAGTTCCAATCATATCACTTGCATCATTGTATTTGGGAGCATCTGTAACCAAGTTTTTTTTTAAACTCAAATTTGTACCTTGTAACTGGACTTGAATAAAGGCTTTTGAAGACGAGAGATATTACTGTTTTTTACTGCATACTTTTTTCCGCTAAAATATAACACAGAATTGCATTGCATGTCTCACATGTCAGCTAAAGGTTCCAATGATGAGTAAATTAGAAGATAAGACAAATTTATATCTTAGCTGTCCTGCCATATTTTCAGGACTAAATATTGCATGCATTGGTATCTGTCAGATTAAATTACTACCGGCAACTGGTAGAACTCCTAAACAAGTGGCAAAAGACAGATATCATATCACTATTGCATGCATGAAATACATCTAAACAACAACATCTTTCTCACATTTACTACATTATAATATTTTTTATTATGTATTCAACATAATGAGATTTTTGGTATATAAAGGCTTCACTGGTATTCAGGTAATTCTATTTAGTAGATTCTATTAATAAACTTTTAATAAAAAAAATTCAACTCTATGTATATAACATACATTACTTACTGGCAACCAAAGCCAAACTATTCAAGTTCAAATCTTGTTGTTTGTGGTACTCCTTGGAAATGAATACTGCTAGCTGGCTACAACAACCATAATGCAATGTACCAGGAGGTCCTGGGCCCACTCCCTTGCATGATACTGTATATTGTGGATAACGGGACACAATATTACTGCACCTATAAATATAAATATATATATAATAAAAAAATAAATCTATAATAATGTTTTAATACATTAATGTTCATTAAATCCTATAATATTACTGCCTGATACTAAAAATACTGATAACAATATTTACCAATCATGAAACTGCTCTCTTGACCATTCAAAGAAGTGGTCTAACCTTCGAAGACCATTTTTTTCTAAAGCCTTAAAAAGCACATTGAAGTCAGAATTGGGTGTTGTGAACACAGCAATCCAAGGTTTAATAAATCCAAACACAGTGTGTACGAGCCTTTCCAGATCATGTGGTAACATGTGTTCAATCATTTCTATAGCCACTACAGCATCACAGCCAATGAGCCTGTAATCTGGATCTGCTGCATTGCCTTGGAAGAGCTAAAATATAGATGCTGTATTATTTAACAGCAATATGTAATAATAATGTTTAAGAAATTGTCTTATAAAAATGTCTATTACAATGTGTTAATATACCTATAAGGTATAAACTATTATATTGATATAAAAAATATATTCCAGTATTATAAAGAAAAAATGAGATTTTCTAAAAGTTTGTGATGAAATTAAAAAAATTCTTACACATAGAAAACTTTATAATCAGTGAGTAACATAGGCTATATGTTATTTTAAAAAATATTTGAGATTCCTATGAAAATTAAAATAATATAACCCATAGTAAAAAAAAAATGCCTATTAAGTCTAAAAATAATGGTAATTTTCTTTCTATCTACTCATGCCAAATTATAATTAGTATTGGGGGATTGCTAGTCTATCATAATGATTAATCAAATGAGAAGACTTTGCTGCGATTTGTTCATGTTCCACTGAAGAAATTTTATCACCACATAGGAGTTAAGCAGCCACCAAATTGTACACATTGCAACAAAATAGAAGACCTTTACATTTTATATTTACTGGTAAAATGTGGTCAGAATTACAAACTGAGATAGCAAATTTTGAGAGATAAAATGATAGTGTTAATGTAATTCTTAACCAACCTAGCAATTGCAATGCCAAACACCTAAAAAAAAAAGACTGTACAAAAATAATATCAAGTAAATAGGAACATCTGTCTTACAATTGTTCTAAACAGATGCAACTACAAGTAGGTTCATCATTTAAGTAATCAGTTAGCGAGTAATATACTTACAATTACTTGTAAAGGTTTTTCTCTTTTTAGTGAATATTCATCAATAGCAAATATATCAGATGAACAGCGAAGGGGGATGCTTTCAATATCCACACCAAGTATACATTTAATACCTGGCACTTCTTTTAGGTACTTTATGAAGCTTATATCATGGTATCCAAGGTCTACAACCTATAAAGATACAACAAAAATATTCATGGAAACATGCAACAAAATGATCAACTGACTTTAAAAAGAAGGAAGTTGTCAATTCAATTGTACTTTTTCCTGTTTGCTACCTCATAACTCTGTCAATTGTAGACTGATTTAGAAAATTCTTACTAGGTAAAGGTATATATATGTCTTGTTATATAAAAACATCTTTATTATTATTAAAAATAAAAAGAGAGTTAAATAGTTATTTCTTAAGTCGTAAAAAAAAGACGTTCATAAGTAAACGTTCATAATGGACAAATTAGTGATAACATTGGGGCTTCAGTCACCTTTTCTAGTTTACCACACCAACGCTCATCCATGAGGCAATCACTAACAGCCGCATATCTTTGTGCGTAAACGGGGGGATAGAATACTACGCCTTTCTCATCATCAAACTCCGCAAATACGTGGTCCTCAAAGTCTTCATTATCACTGGTATTCTCATCGCGGTTCAATGACAAAAAGTGCTTGTAATATGGACGAAGCAAACGATTTATAGCGGTCAACAGTGATTCACGAAAGAATATCAGAGCTTGCAATGCAATAATCATGATTTACCACTGGAGATTTAAAACTTATTTTTAATTTATCTCCAAACTTTACAGGGCAATGCCATGATGTTCACATGTTTATTTTGCATATTTTTTAAACTTTTATCATTCGTCGAACTGTCAGTCATGTCAGAGCTTCATTACGCAATTATTATCCTATATCTATGGTTCTAAAACTTGAGCAGTTACATAGATAAGTAGTTGACTCATAAATATTTCTATTTGTAATCTATGGTAGCGCCAGTATTTTATGGCCATAGGTTATGATATAAATAAGCCTAATACGAACTGAATTAGGGGGGAGGGATTGTTAGTAATGGTGAGGTTAATTCTCATTGATTCAATATACCCTATCAGGTCGACCTCCATGCTGTTCCTTCTAGAAACCTTGAATTACCATGATTATCGTAAAATTTGTCACGATGGGCTAACTGACCTGTAATTTTCATTCTCATTAATTATCTCTCACTAGTACCTTGCCAGTGTATATCGATAGCGCGAGCAGGATTCTTTTCATTATCGTCCATTAAAAAAATACGAACTGAATAGATATATATATTTTATTTAGATTATTATGATTTATAATCCTTAATAATTATTATTATCTGACGCCTTAACGGCTTAATCAATTATAATAAAATTTAGTATATACTACATGGGATGGAGATTTTTTTACGAGCGAAATTTTTTTTTTTTTTTTATACAACTTAGAATGGCAAACAAGCTGAGGGCCCACCTGATGGAAAGTGGTAACCGTCGCCTATAGACATGAGCAGTACCATGGACATAACAGTACACACACATACTGTTTCGCCCATGATACCCCCCATGCGTTGCCATTCCTAAGGACTCAGATGTTATTCCTCTGTACCCAGTAAATTCACGCCATATCCCACCCTTCAAACCGAAACACAACCATGCAAACACAACTGCTTCACGGTAGAAACACGAATGGGACAGAGGTACCCAAGCAATCGACTTTTGTACAAAGTCTCCCTCTGGTAAATGGAATGGTAACCCCCCTTGAGCTAACGGGATACGCTGGCGGAGCACCTGTGAAGGTTGATAGATGAGAATGAAAACAGGCCTATTAGCCTGTCATGATGAATTCGTCAGGAATTAACCATGATAGTTTCTAGGGGGTATCGCGAGGAGGTCGACCTGATTGAGTCTATTGCTAGCAATGGGATTCTTAGTCTCCATTAGTAACAATTCTTTTTCCCCATGTGGGATGGAGTAATTCTGGCAATTTGTAGTTTAACTATGTTACAGTTCAACTTTGTGGAGAGAAAGGAATTGTTAGCGATGGGTCTAATAGCCCCATTGCTAACAATGTTACTAATCAGGTCGTCCTCCACGTGGTTTCCCCTGTAAATCATCGTGATTACTTCTCGTGGAATTCTTAACGATGGGCTAACTAACCTGCCTTCATCTTAACCTATCATCCCTCACTGGTACCCCACCAGCGTATACCATTAATGCAGGCGGGGTTACCATTTCATTATCACCCATTAAAAAGAAAGTTCAACTTTGTGAATATATTATTACATTGAAGAAGTTTTCAATTCCATACATAGTTAAGAGAAATTATGTCTAAAGATTTCATCCTTGTTCTTTGTAGATTCCGTATTTAAACTCGGGACTATGATAACAATTTCTCCTTATTTTCACTTATGGTCTTCAACACGCATAAAACATAAGATACATTGAAATGTCATGTATTAATTTATAATGTTGACCAGTAATATGTCATCTGAGTCTAATACCAACTAATTTATCAACCTGTTATCACAGTTTATATACTAGCACTTTATACTGTGCTTTTATTTTGAAATATTCAGTGCTGTAAAAATCTTTACACATATATATGTCAATAAATTTAAAATTATGAACAAATAACATTTTTTTCCTTTTTTTTTTTACTATATAATCAGAATATTTGATTTAAGGCTGTATAAGAAAAATCGTTTTGCTGTCAACAGCGCAGAAAAAAGTAATTAAAAAAAAAGTACAGAAGCGAGCGAAATCAGCGCTTGGTACGTAATTTCGGGAAAATAACGAAATTTACTAAAAAAGACCAAAGTTATTTAGTTTGTTTTGATTAATTTTGTTACATCAAACACTGCGTGTTTACAGGTAGGTTCTGGAATTATAATAAATTAATAATTGTAAATCGCTAATCGCGACGCTCACGCTACCTACTTTAATTTGGATTTGAGAATGCTTCATTTTTGTAATATTAACCTGTTCAAGAAAGGTTTTATTTTTTTGTGGCAAGTCTTGTATAAGTAGTTTTATATAAGTAATTACCAGAAAGAAACAATATTCCACAAACAATATTGTTGATTGCGTTTGCTTTAGCTGTGTAGCAGACTTGTGTTTATTAGGATACAGCATCATTCATTTCGTAATCTCTGAGATTATTATAAATTCAATGTTATTACAATAAGCATTGTTTATTATAACTATTCCAAGAAGCAATTAATATCATTTAGTATATTAAATAACTGTTATACAGCTTTTATAATATTTTTAATGAGTGATATAAATTGTTGACATGTTCCAATACATTCGGTCATAATAAGTATTTATTGGTCGAACAACACAATACTCAATAGTTGTTGTCTCGAGACTTAGGAACAAAAATATAGTTTAAGTATACAAGCTGATTTATTTTTTATTTATAGTTATTTATCTTCATATAAATACAATAATGTTGACATATCAGAAATTATATTAAATTAGTAATATACAATCAGAATATAAATATTACTATGAATAGTCTATAGCACATATCCTAAATTAATTCATTGCTTAGTGTTTATTCTATCTTCCTAAAGTTGAGATGTGTGCAACTGTATAATAATGTTTTTTGTTGCATTGTTAGCAATGGAGACTAAAGCGGGGGGTCATCATGGGCGAAACAGTGTACTCTGTGATGTCCATAATACTGCTCATGTCTATAGACAATGGTTACCACTTTCCATCAGGTGGGCCGTCAGCTAGTGTGCCATTCTAAGTTGCATAAAAAAACCCTTATTCTGTACCTTATCTAAATAAATTCCAAAACCTCATAGTTCACAATAATTAATATAAAATAAAACATTCCATTTACCTCTATATCTTTATTAATGATTTTTATTTGATTTTTATCTACAAGGTAAGCAAATATAGTAAAAGACAACCCTATACTTGATGGGGTAATGGCCTCAGATTTTGCATTTTTACATTCAATTTACAGCTCAGGTAATTCTAAAACCAAGAATTACTAGAATAATTTTTCCTGTAATGCAATCTAATTAAATTAGCTTTGTTAACCTATTTATTTTGTATCCTGCCACTGACTTCTGCAGGTATAAGATTTTTTTTAGTAAAACTTGGTTAATATGAATGATGAACAAAAATCACTTGGATTGTTTGCTCTTAGTTCCAACTATGGGTTTAAAGGGTAGGATTCTAATTCTATTCAACTATCATGCTGCTACCAGCGCCTTAGCATTGAGATCTAAAATTATGAGTAAAATTTGCTGTTTTTAATATTTTGTAATTAATTTTCCTCCATATATTTTTCATTTTATTTTATCCACATTGTACACAGATAAAATAACTTAATTATAAATTACCTTTCTTCAATTTTATTGTCTTTCAGTATGGATGAAACTATTGTAGAAGAGGATGGTAACAGCCAGCAATATTCATTTATTTATGGTGAGTTGTATAAAAAACAATTTAGACAATTTGTTTTCACTTATATATTATTTTTTTTTATTTAGATAACAACTTAGATATAAAATTACCTGCTAATTCATTTCTAGGTCAAAACTATGCATAGGACATAATGTAAATACACATTATGCCAAATATTCACTTAAGAGTTTTCATGAAATTGAATTACACACAGCGCAGTTGTTTTGATTGTATAATACTGTTGTTTTAATTTTCATTCTATAAATTTCTTAATTATTCTTTCAGTGGATCCCAATATCCAGAGCTGCAATGAACATGGTGACATGTACCTACACAAGGATGAGTCGCTCATCAAGCCAGGTGATATGTTTGATACACAGGAGAGTTTCAATATATATGTGAATGGGTATGCTGAGCAATGGCTGTTCTATTACACCTTAACAAATTCATACACCCAGGACCCCAGTAAGGAAAACTACACTTACAGATGTATTTATTATCAACCTAAAGGAGTGAGGAAAAGGTAGTAAATTAATATATATTATTGAATAAATTGATTTTTTCTATTATTTTAAATGCAAAAGTGTAAGGATGAATAAATGTTGCTCTTTCACACAAAAACTACTGAACAAATCTAAATTAAATTTGGTACACAGGTTATATTCTAGTTTGCCACATGGGATACTTTATGTACTGATTTGCAAGGGTAAAGCCATGTAATACAGCTGATATGAAATACAAATATTATTTGTTGAAATAAATTTGATTACAAATATTTATATTATCAATTTTTTTTTATGTAGAATCATAAAAAATTTTGAATTTTGATTATCAGAAATAAGCCACAAGAAATTTGACAGTTACTGTTATATGTAATTCTGAAATTCAATTGAATATATTTAGTACATTTAAATAAATACACATAATGTAAACAAAGATTTAAAAGAAGAACTGTTTAGTTTTCTGCTTGTAAACAAATTTATTTGAATAAATATGATTTGAATTTAGACTAATTAATTTCAAAAGCTAGAATTGTTGGTAATTAATTTTATCTTGTACTTTCAGGTCAGAGCCTGAAAAATCAAGGTGTCCATGTAAAATTGTTTTGAAACGACTACCATACAATCCAGATGTACTTACAGTTGAATTTGTGTGTCACCATCACAACCATGAGCTGTCAAAAGAGAATTTTCTTAAACTGAAAGATAGCAAGAGAATACAACCTCAAATTAGAGAAGAGGTAACTCATTTGTTTTTATTATACATACATGTCATAGGTATAGCTACAGATAACACAGTTACTTCTGAGAGGAAGGGATTTTTAGTAATGAGGACTACCAGTCCTATTGCTAGCAATATAGGATATATTGCTAGCAATAGATCATAAATAAATAGTCAGATTGATCTTCACCTGGTCCCCTCTGGAAACCATTGTGCTAGTCCATGTGTACTTATCATGGGGCTAACTGACCAGCCTTTTCATTTTCACCTATCATCTGTCTCTATTTCCCTGCATGAGTACACTGTCGGCACAGTCCTGCTGGACTATCATTCCTTTATCATCCATTAAAAAAACACAATTACCTCGATTTGTATAAAAATTAAAAGACTATATATATTTTATTTGTTGTGAATAAAATATATAAATTGATTTTAACTTTCCTTCCACATTAAATTTCTTGAATTTGAATAATATTATCTATATTTTTGTAAAATTAATGCCACAAGGTTTAAAGTCAAATATAGATATATATAGTACAGTGGACAGTTATAGGTATATATATATATATATATATATATATATATATATATATATATATATATATATATATATATATATATATATATATATATATATATATATATATATATATATATAAAATATATATATAAAAACTACATTTAATATTATTATTTCTATACTTTTTGTCACATAACTTATTGTATTCTACCCATTCTACCCTTTCATTTGAAGAAATTTTAAGGAAATTTGTCTTCGTCAATCTTTATGTATTTTCCACATTGTTAATTATACTCACAACAAGGATATCTAATAATATTCGTGTTGTTAGTGTTGTAAATTCATCATTTTATGATAACCACTAACAGTACATACCATAAAATGGATTATATCTATATATTGACTTCAGAACTTAAAATATTTGCAAAAGTTTAGCGTGTTTGGATATTGAGAAGTGTTAGAAATTTCAGTCTCCAAATTTGCATTGTATTGTATTATTTTATAAGATACATCATAAAGTTTAATAATATAATATATTTAAGTCTTGCCAGAGCCATTTCCCTTATTACAATATCTTGCAAATAGTTTGCAATAGTCTTAATATTTCTTATAAACATAAACATTATAAATATATAACATTTCTTAATAATTATGTATTAATATTTATATGATTTGTATTACCTAAAAGTAATTAGCAATTGAACATTGGTGCTGCCTTTGCAGAGTGATTGAAGAACTAAAATTACTATTTTAAATTAATTCTCTCTATTACCGCTGATTAAAATATGTACAATAAAGATTTTACAAAAACAATACAACTGCTAGTTTGCTAATGGCAGAAAAGTCTATTTAACCCAGAAAGCTAACAAGCAATCATTCTACATAATACCACTATTTTTTCTAATGAGTAATTGATCACAAAGCACAGTCTCTGTTAAACATGTAATTAGTTTCCTCATTATAGACTCACAGAAAGATTGGACAGCAAATTGATATATATAAATAAAAAATGTATATAAATGGTATAAATATTTGTTTCAGATAATGGATCTTCTATATCTGGAGGTAGAACCGAAAATTTTGAAGAAATACATCAAAGAATTGACAGGACTGAATTTGAATTTAAACTACTTCATGCACATTGCAAAGAAAATGAAAAAAGATAATGTCGAAAGGACTTTTACTCCTGAACAATTGGATGAACTTACAAAAAAAGTAAAAGGTCAAAATTATTTAATAATCATATCATGCTATTTGTTAATGCATTATTATTATTTTAGCTATTTAATTGTTTTGTCTTTTTATTTCACACTAAGTTCTCAATTTGAAGGACAATAATGAAACATTCTAAATAATCAACACAATGCTTGAAATAGTACTACTAACCTATTTTAATTATATATAAAAGTGTTTCATCCAAACAGTAGGTTTTAATCTTTACGAATTTTGGATTATAATATGCTCTGTGAAATATGACTTTGTTGAGTGTTAGTTTACCACAATAGCAATAGTCGACAAATGTCTCTCACTGTCTCGTCATAGATTATGGTTGTTATATTTTTTTTATTACAATATGGATGCATGTGGCTCAGAACTCTTTATGGAGATCTATTCAGCAGTGGACAGATAACGGCTGATATGATGATGATGATATATGTATATACATATTTTTTTTTTATTAAGAATGATAACAAACTTATAATCTTGAACAACATATTGGATATTACAGAATACGCTATTCTTTCCTCATGCATTTCCATTTCCGACAACTATGTTATGCCTTCATACCCTGTAATTTCACTGCCATATCTCACCCTTCAAACCGAAACAGCCATGCAAACACGTCTTTTTCACGGAAAAAACACGAGTGAGATTAAGGTACCCACGCAAATGACTTTTGTACATGGTATTTTGTGTATAAGCACATTGCAGACTGTAAATTGAAGTCTGGCAGTACCTAAGAGAGGGAGACTTTGTACAAAAGTCGATTGCTTGGGTACTTCTGTCCCATTCGTGTTTCAACCGTGAAGCAGTTGTGTTTGCATGGCTGTGTTTCGGTTTGAAAGGTGAGATATGGCGGTGAAATTACAGGGTATGAAGGCATAACATAGTCGTCGGAATGGCGTGAATTTACTGGGTACAGAGGAATAATACCTGAGTCCTCAGCAATGGCGACGCATGGGGGGTATCATGGGCGAAACAGTATACTCTGTTATGTCCATCGTACTGCTCATGTGTATAGGCGACGGTTACCACTTTCCATCAGGTGGGCCGTCAGCTTGTTTGCCATTCTAAGTTGTATAAAAAAAAACCTAAGTAAAACACTGTACAGTGACACTCAATAATGTTAATACTCAAATCTAATAATTATTGTTACAGATTTAAGATTTATATATGGCAATGTTAAAGATACAGATTGTGAAAGTCCAAAAACAAATATTCAAAGAGGACGGCGAAAACGCAAAGCAGACGGTGGTAGGTCATCACTAAATCTGTGAATGTTTGTCCCCTGCATATATTGTTTAGAGATTATGTTATGTGACTAATTCCTATGAAATCTCGTATTCTTATTCGCGCCGAATCTAACGAAATCTACAAAAGTATTCAGATTTTTTTTTATTTTTTTAAAGTTTTTTAAACTTGATTTTTAACCATGTATTATATATATTGGAATTTTATAAGCTTATTATATTTGTCAATTCTGATAACGAATATAGTGCAAAACATAAAGTTCATATATATCTTGTAACACACATATATACATATAAACAAGTACCTTTCGGCGCGGGCAAGTGTACGGTTACCTTTAGTCGAATGATTTATGTGTGTGTATATATATATATATTTTAATTTATTTTATGTTTTATAGATGTCAATAATACCAATGCGGAAGATATAACAGAAGACTTGGATACACTGTATTCATCTGACAAGAAATTAAAACAAGGTGAGTGGGTTTAACATAATTTCGCAACTGTGAACTAGTAGAGTCCATTGCATTCTTTTTTTTTACTTCTTTTATGTAATGAATATAAAATAAATACGGCAACTAATACTAAGTGAAATAGTAAATAAAAAGGAGGTTTTATGACTGACTAATTTCATGTTTAAAGTGATGATTACAATTTGTTATAGAGTTTGATATTTACTTTTCATATTGTAAATTAGATAAGAGATTAAAAATGTTTTTTTTTTTTTTTTAATAATCTTCCTTAATAATGTTCGTTTGTTATTATATTAAATTATGAAACCTTTATATAGTAATTTATTTGAGATGAATCCTCATTATAACAGTGATTTGATGTATCAAAATATGAAGTAAGTTGTTCTAATATACATCTTTATAATTTAAGAATCGGAAGAGACAGAATATGAGGACATTGACACGAAAAGCAGGCTAGAGACGTGTCTACAAAGATTATCATACGATGAAGAAACATTAGAGTCGGTAAAGAGATTGCAGAGTTCTGTCCAATGTGAAACACAAAGAAATCCTTGGATTTCTGAAGAAATTTGTCCTACTCCTTCTAATGGGTTAGTATTCTTTTAAATTTATCTAAATGTATCCCGTTATTCATAAAAATTTAAATCTACTAACCTATGTTAACTATTACAGTGTTTTGTTACTTTCTAGCAAATTAGAAAATTAGCACAAAAAAAGAGACAAAAGAGTTCAATAGCCAAAATAGGTTTATAAGACGTTTGATGTTTTTATGAATGTTTTATTCATAAAAACGTCAAACGTTAGATTTTAGGTAACTGAATGCATGTTGAAAACTGTTTTTATTATAACGAACGTATTACTCGACTTTTATCGTGTCGTTCCGGTATAGAACGGGCTACACTTTCCTTTTTCGTGGCTGTCGTAAGAGGCGATTAAGAGAGCTTAACGGTCAAGGGATGGACAACAGCGTCCCGTTTAAATCATCATCAAAGCCTAACTGCCGTTGCCAACCCGTCTATAAAGCGTAGCAACTACTCTCAAAACACCCCAATAGGGGGAGGCCTATGTTCAGCAGTGGACAATCAACGGCTGATATGATGATGAACACTCGATTTGGTTAAATATATAAGAATTGAACATTTTTTATAAAATTTCAATTGAATATGTTTTGAAAAAAGTTACAATACAAATAGGTATTTAACAACATTATCAAATTAAAAAGAATGAATTTTATTAAACAAAAAATAAAATAGCTAATGTCGTTTTTATGGAAATGGATGTAAATGTTATATTAGTGCTAATTAGACCATATTCCAGATTTCTTTTTAACAAGCTTGTATTGTATCTTTTTTCTTTTTACGTTGTATTTTTATTATAACAAAATTAAATCAAATTCAAGGTGACATGCCTACCACTCTCTAATCAATCAGTAATTTACTAACGTAAGTAATATGTGATATTATTAATTAATTTGTAAGAACGCCACGTTTTGTCATTTTTTTACTTATATTTCTATGAGTACTCAGTTTCAATCATACACTTCGTAAAAGGATGATAATGAATGTGAATACATATAATTACTTTATTCATATTTTTTACATAAATTTTTATGTCAATAATCATTAATAATTCAATATACCTATAATACATATTTCAATTATTGATTGATTTGGGTTAGTGGGTACTTTACATATGATTAGATTGAGAACTAGAATTTGAATTGTCTCAACTAATGAATGTTTATTTTTAGAACCTCCTACATGTCTGACAGTATGGGAACAACTCAAAATGAAGTACAACTGGAAATAGGTAACAATACCAGTGATTTTCAAACGGAAACTATTGATGACAGTTACATACAGAACATAAGTGAACAAAATGTTGAAGTGTCTGAGATAAGTAACAGTGATGGTCAAATTGTCACTCAGAATTATGTCTTAGGTAACAATGAAGAGAATACACCAGAGAGTTATGTATTGGCAAATAATTCTGAGACTTATGTTCTGGAAAATAGTGAGCAAAACGTGAATTACGTATTAACCAGTAATGAACATAATATTCCACATAGTTATGTATTGGAAAATGGTATTGTAGTAACTTATAATGGAGATGGTCAGGGCTTCACCGAGTCGGAAGTTGTATATGATAATGATCACACAGCTGTTGGTAATGAGCAAGAGGGCAACACCAATTATGTTTTAGTGGAAGAGAACACTGCAGCCGCAGAAACTACAGTTGAGGAAAGCAGTGAAAATATTGAATCACAAGATAATGAAAAGAGTAAAGCTAATAATGTATCAGACACGCCCAGTCATTCCGATTATGAATATATACATCGTTTCAACATAGACCAATATATGACTCAACAATGGTTCATTAGATGTATACAAACAGTTGCAGAGGATACTAAAATGAAGGCTGTAGATATGTTGAGTGATCTGTACCTGGGTAAAACTATGTTCAAATTGATTACGACACGAAAAGTTGATATGCAAACTATTAGAATCACATATTTGGTTGACAATGTTCCCTCATTATCCGGTTTCGACTGCAATGATCGTGTTAAATATAAGTTGGAAGCTGCAAAATATTGTAAAAAGCTGATGTCTCTAAAGAAAAAGTTATCACATAGTTCTAGGTACATTCACAGTCTGAAAGGCACCATCGAATCTTTGAAGAAAGCAAATATGGCATTGGCGTCAAGAAATAAACATTTGGAACGTGTGAAATCACAAAATGTCTTGCATAATTATAAGAAGGATATGCAGCATTTACGAGAAACCAAAGACTCATTGCTCTCACAAATATCTGACACTGAACGTCAAATAGTACATTTGAAAGAAGTTAAAAGAAATTTAAAGACCGACATATGCACGTTTATTTCTAAGAAAGTATTGTTACAGCAAATGTCTGGTGAGAGCAACGAAAAATTGGAAAATGTTAAAAATACTTTGGCGAAAGCGATCGAAACGTGCAAAAACACTGTGAACAGTGTTAATACAAGTAACAATCAGGTTAATGAAGAGCAATATGTTATTAGTAATCTTGACGATACAGAAAACTTTGTGATGGCAGTTGAAAATGTACCAGAAGGTATAAGTATTGACGGCCAATACAATGACGGCGACATAGTCTACGTCGTCGACAGTAATCAACAAGAAGTAAACTTGCAAAATATAAGTTGATAACGATAATAATAATAAATCTACTGTAAACATATGAATGTCAAATAAAGCGGTCGTTTTTATATATTTTTTTAGGATTGATAGTAGGTATTTAGTTCTAAATGAAATGTATAGTTAAGAGGTGTTTCTTCGGTGGCGCACAGAGTAAATTATGTACAAATCGTACCATAATATTGTATTACACAGATAGCATCGTACATAAATATTATGTTAAATATTGGATATAGATTCTATATCACATTGAAGTACTAATTATAGATAATTAGTGTTACATAATATGATTTTATTTGTTAATATTCAATAAATAATTGAACTTTGTTTAGTAATAATTATGAAATGATATTATTTTGTTTGCTTAAATAACCTTTGTGATCGAAATTACATAATATGTTATATATTAGCAAAAGGGGCGATACTTTGTTCATGTTATGCATAGGTACACTCTATTATATATTTATTAAACTTTAGTATACCTAGATAACAACAATGCTAGACTGCAAACAAAAAAGCTAGACTTAACACCGTTTTTATCAATCATTTGAACAAAAATTACAGAAAGTACAAATGGCGGTGCAAAGATGGGAAAATACTGAGTAAGGCTTAAATTCTCATTCTAAAGAGATCTTAAAAATCAATCGAAAGGTGGGTTAAACTCATCTACTGTGGTGACACAATAGGTAAGACTCATTGTGGGAGTTTTAATAGGACACATGTCGGTAAGGCATATATTATACGCGATGGGTCTGTCTTTAAACACACTGGAGGTCGTGCAGCGAGAATCGAGAATCTATGAAACGTCTAATGTGGAATTGTGATTTATAGGCAAGTATGCGTATGAGTCTACTGGAACGGCTTATCCGGAACCAGAAGACTATAAACATTCTAAACTGTGGGATATCGTAAGGCTAATGCATAGAATCTATAAAATGATAGAATAAGGCAGTGAAACACAAGATCCCCACAGGTCAACGTGCGATAGCCTGTAAACCGAAAGCCCAAGTTAATTAAAGATAAGGTAACCAAGGTGTAACAATATAAATTTCATTAAAATTAGTTGAAACTGTTTCGAAGATTAGTGCGAATGAATATTGTAATACGGGATATTTATATATTAATATTTGTATCATTATTCTATGTTTTCAATGTGGTTCCGGTAGAAGCCACTCCTTTCTCATCGGTGTCTACTAAGGGAGTTTAGTGGTCAAGGGACAGGCAACAGCGTCTCTTTTAAAAGTTTTCAGTTAATATGATATGATGATTATTATTCAATACTTATAATGCTGACATTATTATCCCGTTCTATTGCCTGAAATTTCAACTTCTATTGTGCTTTATGCTTCAGAAAAGTAGTCGAGTTCATGACTATAATTCATTACAATAAACTGTGAGGGGAGAGGATTGTTAGCAAATCATTGCTAGCAGCATATTCTGGCAAGTCGACCTCCACACTGGCCCCTCTGGAAATCATAGTTGTTAATTCCTAATTAATTTGCCTAAGGAACAAGGAACTAATTGCTGTAACTTCATCCTCTATCATCTACTGTCTCTGGTGCGCCACCAGCGTACACCGATAGGGCAGGCAAGATTATCATTCCGTTTGCATTAAACTATTCACCAACATTAAAATATTAGAATAGTAGCAATTACATTGGTAAGGCGGAGGTGAGGGAGAACACTGGCGGGTGAATTAGACTTTAGTGAAGTGATGGCAAAGAGCCTACGCAAAGAAGCGAATTCAGTACTGCCAACATAAAGACTAACAATTTCAGTAGAAGTATAACCATGATCAAAGATAGGCCATTTGTTATTACAGCGAGAATATAAAGAGCCTTCTAGAAGCCAGTTGTCAAATTATTTATTACGATGAGTTTGACTTCATAATTCTATAAGTCAGGTTTTACATATGAAGGGGAGAAGGCGGGAGGGATCAGATTGGCAACGCACTCATTTTAATTACGTTCGCAAACTTCTATTAGCTAACCGCCGGTAATAAGGCCAGCTTGCTTTATTAATAAATTTTTAACAACACATTGATTTACACGTCTACATTCGTGGGGGACCAAACTCCCCTACGCTTTTACCCAATATTTATCCTCTTAGTGTGAGAAATTACATGAGTATTTTTAAGGAAATTATAGTATATTATTAGAAATTAAATAACACTAATAAAAGTTATTAAAATTTAAAACATTAACATTTCTTACATCAAATAAGAAAATTGTCTAGAAGTCGAAAATTAAATTATTAATATAAAAAACGTAAACTTTTCTCAAATATTATTATTATAATTTTTTCAAACGAAATGTTCTAATAAGTCCTAAAATAAGAAAAGTCACAAGAAGCACAAAGCCTAGTTTTTATTTTATAGTACAGGAAGTAGGACAATTATTAAAAATATTTTATAATACCTCTGGAATTGCAGGCGTTCATAGGCTACGGTTACCGCTTACCATCAGGAGGGCCGTATGCTTGTTTTCCTGCTCAGTAGTATAAAAAAAATCCAAAATATATGTAGTGGGCACCTTACTCTCCCACGAGTGTTGTTAAGGGTTAAATATTACGCACAATGGCCCAAATGAGAGGCTAAGTACGGAAAATGGAGTCCCTTTCACATTCAAGGGTTAAATATATATAAAAAGAAAATTTATAGTGACTCCAACCGAAGTGCACCTTCGATTGCATACGTTAATCATGAAACAGTTCACGGTCGGTCGGTCACCGCGGTTTGATAGACAATCGCCTTATACAAATGATTCGTCAAGTAGACGAAGTGAAAGTTAGCATTGTTGAGAGGCATTGTCAGCGATCTGTCTTCCGATCTTGTATGCGGCACAACCAGTTTTATTTATGTTAATTATAATCTTTGTATATGGCCTATGATGAAATTTCAGATTAATGTGTAATTTTTCAGCTCCGATTTATAAAATCTCGTCTTACAAATCTTGTAACAATAACTCTTGATAGGTACATACACCGGAGGTTATTCGCAGGCTATCTGGCAAGTCGTTTTATTTCTATCCTAGGCATAAAAACTGTGACATTTTAATTGGATGCTTAAATACGGACTGGAAATATCGAATCCACCATTGAGCCAGGTTAAAAGCCTTTTCCTTTATTTATAAAAACTAAAACAGTATAAACCTATTTTAAATATTAAAATTCCTATAGCTATTATATAGAATTTAGCTCAAAAAAACAAAACAATTGCTAAAATAAATTTATGAGACATTTGACATTATTATTAACAAGAGGATTCGTGTATAACGAAAACGATCTAGAATCTTTTGACACCAGAGGGCGACATTCCACGTAATTGGTAGTAGCAGCATAAACAACTATTTAAATATATAATCTATGATAATAAACACCATGCGATAGTAAAGATGTAAATACGATACTTGCTAGCATAAATTCTAGTGTACATTCATAGAATTGAAAATGGATAAAAACCGGAAGCGTCATTGGAGGAATTTAAAGGACAAACCATTAATACTTTGACGAAAACATTAGTTTTTTTCCTCTTATCTTTATTCCTCGTGTTCAAGTATGGAATATTTTAAAATTGACTATATTGTTATATTTATTTTTTTTATAATAATGGAATGGTAACCCCGTTTGCGCTAGCGGTATACGCTGGCGAGGCACTAGTGAGGGACGATAGATGAGAATGAAAAGGTTGGTCAGTTAGCTCATCGTGATATACACCTGGAATTCAGCACGATGATTGATGAGTATATTGCTAGCAATGGGACTGGTAGTACGCATTATAACAAATCCTTGCTATTGCATATTGTTATTGTTAATACTTTTTGGTTGGTTCCAAAATTTAAATGCGGTGTGACACCTATTGCGTGTGTTGCTTAGCAATTGTTGACTGTCGTTTATTACGAAAATAGAAAATTAGTAGGTGATTTAAATATTATTTTTATTTATATATCAAGTGATATTGTGTGTTCGTTTATATATATTTTGTGTTATTTGTTTGGACCTTATAAACTGTATAAGTGAAATCTACTGACAATTCTGCTAATTCTTACTACCAATCTTTGAAGAGTTCAGTTACTGTTCAAGGAACAAGGTTCAAGGTACGAATATCTTTAAGTGGTTACGGGCCCAGATTGCTGAAGATGGATCTTGCCAAGATACAGATTACCAAACTTGAAAACCATAACTGGATACAATGGAAGTATCGGATGACCGCTTTGCTAAGGGGTATCGACGGACTTCTTGATATTGTTGAAGGTAAAATACAACGACCTTCTCTGCTGGCAGAAGCTGCTACGCAAGTGGCTGGAGCTGCTGCATCAGCTGAAGGAGATAGGGTTAGCACAGGTGATATCACGAGTCTACAGAATTTTCTCAGGTTAGAGAGTACAGCACTACTCTTGATAACTAATAATATTAGCGACGAAACACTTGACAAGGTGATTAGATTCTCCACTCCTAAAGAAGTATGGGATGAATTACACAGGCTTTATGATGGCGTTAATGACAATAAAGCGTATGATTTATGTATGGAATTCTTTCGGTACAGTAAAGATCCCTTAGATAATATTACAACTCACATTACAAAACTGAAGAATATATGGTTCAAACTGGTACAGGAACTTGCAAAAGCAGAAAATAATACAAATTTACCGGATCTTTTGCTGATTTGCAAAATTCTAGACACACTGCCTGAATCGTATTTCTCTTTTAAGTCGAGTTGGTTGTTGATGTCAAAAAAGGATCGAACAGTGGAAAACCTAACTAGTCAATTGTGTGCTCATGAACGTGCTCTTACAGGAACAGGAGGTACTAGTGAGATTAGTGGGCAAGCACTGATGACCAAAGTGAAGAAAAAGTTTACTAAGAAAGAAGGTGAAACTTTAAAGAAAGAAGGCGAAACTTCAAAGACTACTGATAAGAGGAAATGTTTCTTTTGTAAAGAAGTAGGACATCTTATGAAGGAATGTTCTAAGAAGAAGTCTACTCGCTTAGGAAAAGAGACTGTTTCAAGCATGAACATGATGTTGTTGTTGGTAAATTCATTAGACACGGTTATCGACAAGGATGGCTGGTATGTTGATAATGGAGCTACCAATCATGTAACAATGCGTCAGGATCTCTATCAGGATTTTGAATACTTTGGCGAATCTCACACTGTTACAACAGCGGATGGTAATATTATCAAAGCCGTTGGTAAAGGCACAATCAACGTTATAGCTGATGTTGATGGTAAGGAAGAGAATATATATCTTCGAAACGTCTGGTATGTACCTCAAATTAGTAAGAATTTATTTTCGGTTCTATCGACTCAGGACAGAAATCCTGATAGTCTGTTTGAGTCCCGTGTAACATCT